CCTGACCTGCTGTTGTCGTTACGTACTGAGATATCCAAATAAATTATTCAGGAAACAATTAATTATGATTCGAAAGGAAAAAATACTTCGTGACCCCTTTTTTGAGTAATGTGGGGTTTCGAGAATGTTAGGAGCGAACCTGTTTGTTGTCAACAACGTTTATGGGTGCCGTGCACGGACGGAAATAATGAATTTGTAAAATATAATCTGTAATTGCCTAATATTTGTAAAGTACACCGTTTAATTTTATTAATTTGTTAGATTAGGGATTAGTTTATGGGGTTTCGACTTGAGGTTCTTTCAAGAGACATATTGTCATGATGCTATTCATGTATAATAACGTTAGATGGTTTCTTCGCTTCCGCGCGCGCCTCAAAGAGCCATCAGACCACCACAGATGGGGTCCAATAGGGCTGATGCCGATTCGGAGTCGCGGAGAACCAAACGGGTAACCGGGGCTCCGGCTCGACGTGCAGGAGAAGGAATGGGGTGGTTTTTAGTCAGTAAGAGTCTGACACTCCCTCCCGCCTCACCCAGGCGGGAGCAGTCATTCGATGATTTTCCCCCCTTACAAAAAAAAAAAGGTAGTACGATAGCTGAGTGCCTGGATCATCTAAGCTTAAACGCTATCTGACGTGTTCTTACGTAAGAACCCTTAAGAGTTCTAACCCTTAAGACAAGGGTCTCATCATGTCATCATCAACAGCCGATCCCATAACATTCCAGAGCTGAATCATGGGTCTCTATGGTGTAAGAAGGATGATAAATGGAAGTAATGTAATAACGATAAGAAAGTATACTCCAATTAGTATTTACTGAAGCACACCTTCATTCACCCCATAGAATATCACGAAATTCAATTCAAAACCTTCCCTTATATTACGCCCAGACAGGTATTGATGAACGTACCGTCAAGTTAAACACACAATACCCACTTACAATATAGGGTACACCCTTGTATTGTATCCGTGCACTTGTCATCACGAAGCACTGTTCCTAACTTCCCAGTCATCGTCAGTCGCCCGGCGTGTTTCGCGCGCGACGGACGTGTTGCGTCGTTACTCGCGTATTGTTTATTAGTTTATTTACATCGATATATTTGGGCCGCTGACTCAATATTCTCCACAATTAAATAGCCATGGTTTTTGTGTGAGTACTTGCAACGGTTTAGATTGTGTCGCTTTTTGTGTTGGTCTTGTCTTGAGTCATGCTTTTTAATTCTTGTTGGAAGTTTTAGTTTTTGTGAATTAGTTTTGAATTTTTGATAAGGTCTGATTTTTTTCTAGGTTAATATTATGTGTAGATTAATTAAGTAATCGTCATTCATCATCTTACGTTGGTTTACTTAATTACTTAAATATATTAAGGATTTTCATTGAAATGCTTTTACACTGGTGTGAAGTAGTGTGTGGTGTTCTAGATGCTCTCCCGTGTCGTGGGTGCGTTTACAAACATACAATTTCACATGCACATACAATGATAGTTGATTTGTGATTTATTATACATATATTTTTACCGTCCCGTTTGGCCATTTTCAATTTTTAACAATATGCGGTAAATTATTACCTATATTTGCAGGTGATATAAATACCGAAACAATAGTTATAATATCGTACCTGAGTCCTAACTTATTTTACATTTTTTTTAATAGTTTTCTTTAGATTCCCATTTAAAAATATATCATTTGCTTTTTAAACGGAAACATCTGTCTGAGAATAAAGAAAACAAACAATAATTTATTCTCATAATAAATCTAACTGCTATAAATGTGCATATAAAACAAAATCCTTTATAATTACCTAGTACCTATAAACACCACTTGATTCTCACGCAAGAATAATAAGAAAAAACAACAATCGCTTTACCTAGTGCTATTCTGAGATTTAAACTAAGCTAATATAAACTTATTCTGACCTGGTTAATTAATATTCACACTATAGGTACCTACACCGACTACACATCGAACTATACAAAACCACTTTATCATGACTCGCTTTGCATCTTCTTTCAGCACTCTGGAGGGTCAGTTTATATTGGTTAGCATAGCTTGTGTCAGTACGTATAAATAGCATTGTAAGGAAACATGCGAGTTGGTCTTGTACGGAACAGAATTGCAGTGTATCGCCGCTTGCATCAAGAATCGGCACGATATATCGGGGCGCTGATTCATTGATGAGCGGAGCGGGAAGGTGACGTCATGAGATTACACCCTAAAGAGTATAAACTTTTATGACTACTAGAATTCAGCTAGTCAAAACTTCCAGACCAGGATCCTCCGAACAAAAGTGCTTATTTTCCGTCTATAACAATGATATGTCTAATAGTAATCCCTACAGAAGCTCTGGAGAGTTAATGAAAGCAGGAATACACAATATTGTTCAGTTAACATGGATTTCTATTTATAAATTCTCACTCAGACGGAAATCCAGACATTGAGCTGTTGTGTCTGGACTTGCAACCTGAACATGGTAACTGTGTCGTTACTTTTTGAAATACATAATCTCATTTTAGGTGACAAAAGGTGGGCTTTACCCCACTGTTATATTCAAGGCTAAACTTAATACAAGACTTTGCTGGTTATGTTAATTTTGTATAGTTTTGACCTAACATCACGCGCAGTTTCGATGTCAATTAAAAAATGAAGCAAGTTTACCAAAACTCCCTGTGCAAAACCAATAGCATCAGGATTTTATTCCAAAACTTAAAATACTAAGAAGGTATGAAATAATATTATGGTCATATTTTCCTGACATTCCTATCTAGTCTTATAATATCTAGACTTTAATTTAAACTGTATAATAAACAGTTATCTATAGGAAACTAATCGTTGACAATCACGCGCATCGATCCAAGCTAAATCGATTAACGTGAGCGATTATTTCACGAAAATTATGTCACGGAACCGGTTTAAAAAATAAAATAAAAAAGTCGTTACGCCCAGTACGTTGTCCGCACCCTAAGAGCAGGGGTGTCTCCCTCAGCATGTGCCCATGTGGCCATAAAACCAGCGATCGATAGTAGTCGTTGCTACGGAAACTCTCGTTTGGCAACCCTCAGGCTATAGTCTCGTCACTGGATGGACACATTATGCTGTATTGATTTTGTATCCTTTTTTTATTATAAAAATTTGTCCTGGTTATTTTTGAAGTTCATGAGAGATCTGTAACTAGCGAGTGCTTTTTAAAAAAAAAAACGTTGCCGTACACTAGGATTTTCTCCTGTATCGTAGGTGCGTTTATAAACATACAAGTATACTTAGGGTAATGGTTTACATTCAGGTAGCAAAAAGAATTGGCTTGTAGATGTCGCCAAAAATTTCAGTCTACGATTTACAAGACCTTTCTAACCAATTTAAATGAAACAACTGTTAAATCAAATCAAATATACGATTTTCAAACTCTAAAATACGTATGCACATAAGAACGAACGAACCTAAAATTCAAATATCCAAACAGTTTCGTAACAACTTGTACCATTCGATCGGAATTTTGATGCAGATTGTGTTCATAAAGTTTGACAGTTAGGTTTGCGTGCACAAATCCGAATTTGGCCGATTTTGCCCGCCAGTCTCCAGCTCGGGTCATAAATGTCACCGAATATGGTGAAGTACGGTGACTGGTGAATTGGCACCCAAATGGGTCATGAATGTTTTGAATACATATCTGTTAATTACGTAAATATTGTATTATTAATGTGTTTATTTTATGTTGATGATGATTAATGAATAGTACTTGAGTTTCAGTTAGGTGTTGACGTGAGATTTATTTTGTTGTAGTAAGGTTGTGCTTATGACTTGTTGGACAGTCTTGACTCTTGACTGTTTGAATCGGACAAAGTACTTTTAACAAATTACATATTAAAAAAAACACATAAACCACTTTCTAGTTTCCGACATTAACGAATTCAATTTTTTGTGGGAGAGCCATGCTTCGGCACGAATGGGCCGGTTCGACCGGAGTGATACCACGGCCTCACAGAAAACCGACGTGAAACAACGCTTGCGTTATGTTTCGTTGTTTGAGTGAGGTTATATCAGGCCCAATTAGCCCCCCCTCCCCTTCCCCAATCCTCAAATTTCTAATCCCAAAAGGCCAGTAACGCACGTGTAACGCCTCTGGAGTTCCAGGTGTCCATGGACGACGCCGATTGCTTACCATCAGGTGATCCGTCAGCTCGTTTACCGGCTTATGCCATAAAAAAAAATGAAACATCATGGCAAACTGATTCGTATGTTACAGTTTACTATTCTACGTAGTCGGTCAAAGGCTGATTTAAAGCAAGTATGTCACTGTTGACAACAAAGTGATTGAATAGAATATGTGTACCTACCGGCCTTTGCCATATACGGTGGGACAATCGCCTCATTGAATGACCGTAGCGACCATATGTTACCATGCTTGCTTATTGCAACGCTCCTATTGCAACCTTTGAAATTTGTAACACGTTTTTGACGCCAGTGATGTATCTGTAGACTATGCTTGTAGGTATCAATTTTCTTTTTTGCATGCCTTGCTTATGCGCATGACGTCTTGTTATCCAGATTTTTTAATGTAAATAAGTCTCAAGTTTTATTAAACACGTCCGTGTAAGTTTTTCCGCACATTGGCCCACTTGCGTCACTAGTGGGCTCTGCAATGCAATCATAGGGTTAATACAGATTTCTCTGGTGCAAACTGAACGTTCCTGATGTGGCTACACATCAGAATCAGAAAAAGAAGAACCGTAAAGACGGGAAATTCAATTGCAATTCAAACAATGATTACATCGATCCACTAGTGACTTCGAATGATAGTGGTATTAGCAGGTACACCATCATTGACAGCGATTGCTTGAGGCTACTTGATAAATATAATCTATTGCATAAACATGCTATATGTCGTTCATACAAAAGCATGCAAGATGAAATCAGTGATTTATCTTTTGTTATTTATCCTGTTAGTGGCCCAGTGTGCGGTAACTATTGTAAACTTCACCTATCTATATCGTTACCTCTTTTCCAGTCCACATGTATCAGAGACCTCGAATCCGTCTACATCAGGCCTTATGACAGACAAACCGAACGAAGACAGAATGCGAAAATGTGATGATGAAGGGCCAGCCAAAGAAAATGAAGGTTCTGTGTCGGATTGGATATCGGGAGGGCCTCTGGGGTCTAAGGGCGCCGTTCTGGTATTCAGATCGTGCGTCCTCGCATCTAGAAGTCCTTCCGTAGAATCTGAGACCAAAACGATAGGAAACAACACAGGGACTACGATACTACTCAACAAAGCTAAGAATATGGCGCGGAGATTGGTGGCGGAACCGCACACATTTTCTATGAGATCGAAAAATATAATGCACGATGTTATGGAGACTTTTGGGACTAGTAATTCTAAGTATAATGGGAGTGCTTACGTGGTTCGGCACGTAAGTGAAACGAACCTTGCTGAGCCGGTGTGTATGGACGAGCAGGGTCACGAGGCACAGGACCCAATGTCACACAAGAGGGACATCGAGGACGTGCTCAATGACTTGAGTAAGATCACGCTGAAGAAACATCTGAACATAGAGAACACGACAGCTAACATCAAGCCTCCTGAAGAACCGCCGCCCCATGGGGCTTCTAAGGGTATGTTTTGTTGGAATCGCGTCATCTTTTTGAAGAGGTTTACTGACTTTTTGCAATTTTAGTAATCTAATTTTGATTACTCGTCTGTTTAGATGGCAAAGATGACAAGAAAAGTAAGAAGAACAAGGGTAAGCACAAGCGTAAGACGCCGGTGTCACAGCGAGCGATCTCTCCTAGCCTTGACAGCGACGACTCGGAACATCTGCTGGTCAAGGAAGTGGAAAGCGTCAAGGTAAGAAACCTTATTACAAACTTTTAATTTGTTCCTACTTTCCTTCTTTTGTTATTTATCTTGTAACTTTCCACCAGGTCCTAGAAAGCAGTCATATGCCAGCTCGTCTTCTGAAAATCACGTACAAACTGGTGAATACGGAGACAAAACTCCTGCACCGGTTACTCCAAGCCCATGGTCTTCAGGAAGCAGTGTCTGAAACCAAAGACTTCAACCTCCTTTGGTCCGGTCTCCACCCGAAACCTGATGTCCTAAGATCCTTGTCTCCGTACCAGCGAGTGAACCATTTTCCCAGGTGAGAAAGAATATTGGGGAATGGTGAATTACTGTCAGTATTTTTGAATTTGTAATTTGTTCATTTCATCCCCTTTTTTGAATTTCCACATATAAACTTTTTCATATTTTGCGGCCAAAGTTGTTTAAGTCTTTGGACACCACGAGTTAGCAATGGAGAAACTTCATTGTGTTGGAAATCCATGAATTGCTGCTGTATAAGTCCTATAGATCCTAAAGTCACCTCCTAAAACTTGACAAATCCTCATTTACATACCAAAGTAAATTCTATGTGTCATAAAGTCCATAATTCAAGAATATTGACAGTAGTTCACTATAGGCCCGAGCTGGTCAGGGAACTGCTGAACGCGCACGGCCTACTGGAGGTGGACCACGACAGCCCCACGTGGAACCTCATGTGGTCCGCACTCATGATCCCCTTCGATGTCCTCCAATCCATGCAGGTTTACCAGAAAGTCAATCATTTCCCAAGGTAAAATTGCTCACCTTTGCTTTAGGACCTAGAATGACTTACTAAGAACGTCTTGATGAGACAGTTTCTAAGGAGCTAATTTATTTTTTAGACTTTAACTCGTCGAGTACCGTCATTATAGACACAATTATAGAACAATAGGTTGCGGTTACCGGTGACCGCGCGGTGTTTGACAGTTTAAAGAACAGCGTCTCAAATTCTCTAAGTTAGGAAAAGGGAGTATCCTCCGATCTGGCGAGGCGACCATGCCTGACGGGCCCATACATCTTGGGCAAATAAAGTACTACTATAACTCTCCCTTTTATTCTCATGCCACTCTTTTATTTTATAAACTCTATTCTCATCTTCTCCAGGTCCTACGAGCTGACCCGTAAAGATAAACTCTTCAAAAACGTAGAGAAGATGCAGTATTTCCGAGGATTAAAGCAGTTTGACTTCATCCCCACCACGTTCCTAATGCCGGCCGAATATAAGGAGTTGTGCTCCACCCATTATCGGACTAAGGGACCCTGGATTGTGAAGCCGGCCGCTTCGAGCAGAGGGCGCGGGATTTATATTGTTAATTCTGTGAGTATTTTACTATTTGACTGCTTCGTTGGCCAAGTGGTCGCAAGTGCGCCTGCCGGGCAAGGGGTCTCGGGTTCGATTCTTGGCTCGGGCAAAGTATTACTGGGTTTTTTCAAAAAATCGGAGTCTGGAACTGTGCCCGGTATATGGCAATAGGCTCACCCCTATAACATTGTACAGTGGCATTAAGTGCCGTAATGTGCACCTCTGCCTATCCCTTCGGGGATATAAGGCGTTAAGTTACGTTACGTGTTATGGTATTTTATTTTTTCTTGAATTTTGTTATAGTTCAGTTCGAATATAAATGTGTTATATGTTTTAACTCATTGAGTACCGTCATTATAGAGGTTGCGGTCACCGGTGTCCTCGCGGTGTTTGACAGTTTAATGAGATAGTTCGTTCATTATTAATAGAAAAAAGTTTTATGCTTTCAGAACCTAAAATTAAAGATATTTTCTCTTGGGGGTAGCTTTTATTTCATACACAACAGCAATAATAAAACAATGAAATACTTAATTTTATTTCTTGAATATTATATCCTATTTTAACAGTCGATAAAGCCTATTACCCAATAGACCAAAGAGTAACCCAGACACTTCTATTCACAGCCGGAACAGATACCAAAAGGCGAGAACGTAGTAGTAGCAAAATACATAGACAAACCTCTTTTGATCGGAGGTCACAAGTGCGACCTCCGTCTCTACGTGTGTGTGACCTCTATAGACCCTCTCCTCATATACCTGTACGAGGAGGGCCTAGTGAGGTTCGCCACGGTGAAGTATGACAAGACCAACAAGAACCTCTGGAACCCGTGCATGCATCTCTGCAACTACAGCATCAATAAGTACCATACGGATTATATCAAGTAAGTGGCTTTTGGGAACTTTCTTTTGTATGATTGTTTCTATTTTCCAAGTTTCAACTTGGTTTAGAAAAATTAAAAAACAATTGCTTTCTAAATTATTATGTTTTCGGCTTACTCACGAGGAATAGGAATAGTAATTTGGCGAAAGTCGCCGCGTCGCGGGTCGCGAAATGCTCCTCATGAATATGAGCCTCTAGCATGGCTTGAAACTAGTCGAGTTCCTCATCAAATTATTACGTGAGTAAGCCGAAAACATAATAATTTATTTACTATGTCTCACGAAAGTTACAATACAAACAATTGCTTTCCCCTGAACTACTTAAGGAACTAAGGAAGCTATAAACATTACAGTTTGGAAACCAGTAGCTTAGGTTGTATGTTGTTTATAAAGCAAGAAAGAAAAAAAGCAAGCAAGGTAATGCAAGAATTATTTTGAAACTGGTGTCTGATAATAAACGGATAACGTTAAAAGGGATCTTAAATATCCTTTTAATATGAGAGTAGAGGCTTAAAGTCATTTAAAACAATATAAATTAATTTTTTACCTACTTAAAAAAAAGAAGGAGGTTATCTTTGCCATGTATGTATGTATGTATGTGCGCGATTATCTCGCAATTGGCTGAACCGATTTTGATGCCCTTTTCAAAAAAGTGTTTATTACAATCAGGAAAAGGTTTTATATTATATCGCGTTTCTTGTACACACGGGTGTACGAGAGTGACTTGCACCGATTGAAAACTTTTTCTGTGATGTATATTTTCAAGTTGCAACCCGTTCTTTATTTGATTGAACAGTATAGTTCATTCGCTTTCTATTAAACCCGCGCGAGAGGTTAACCGACTTCAAAAAAGAGTGGGTTGAAGAAGTAGGGTTTTTTAACCGTAGTTTATAAAATAATTATTACCTTTATTTACGCTTAGTAAAACACTGGATTTTATTTTGAAAATAGTTTTCTAAAATCTTAGGTGTGACGACCCCAACGCCGGAAATATAGGTCACAAATGGACCCTATCGGCCTTACTCCGGCACCTTCGCAAGCAGGGGCGTAACACCACGGCACTAATGGCGGCCATAGAGGACCTCGTCGTCAAGTCCATACTATCCTCGGCCCAAACAATCACTGCGGCCGCCAGGGTGTTTGTACCTAACTTCTTTAATTGTTTTGGTGAGTAATAAAGTATTTTATTTTAACAATGAATATATATAATCATACATAATATATAATAATAGTTAATAGTTATATATTAATAGTCGCAAAGTAGTATTATATGTACATACTTAGTAAAAAAATAGTTAATAAATAAAAAGCAAAAAGAACACATTAGTGCAAGTAAAAAAAAATTTAATGAGTCATACATTATTTATGTTTTAAGGTTTATTCATGTAACTGTTTCACTTTCACTAAAGAATCTCATATCCAAATTAAAGGGTATAAAGTATATCATGCACTGCATCCTCATAACACACCAAGAGGTGGTAGTGCTGTCATCATAAAAGAGAATATTTTTCACTACGAAAAACTGAAACATGAAAAAGAAGAAATACAAGCAGTGGCTGTCTGTGTCAAAACAAAATTCTGTCTTATCACCATCTCAGCCATATACTGTCCACCTAGGTATTCACTAAAAACAGATCAGTACATGTCTTTTCTTAACTGTCTTGGAAACAGATTCATATTGGGAGGTGACTTTAATGCTAAAAATACATTTTGGGGATCTCGACTGACAACGACCAAAGGCAGAGAGCTACTGTGCGCCATTGAAGAAACACAAGGTAAAACTTTATCAACAGGCAAGCCCACTTATTGGCCTACTGATACAAAAAAGATTCCTGATCTTATAGACTTTTTTATTTACAAAAATATATCACCTAGTCTTCTTCGCATTGAAGAAGGTTATGATATGAGTTCAGACCACTCACCTATATTACTTACTCTAAGTGAGACTATCTTGCTGAAAGAATACAACCCCACATTGGTAAACAAGAACACTGATTGGGAAAGCTTTAAAATAGATTTGGAGTCTATGATAGATTTAAGAGTCCCACTCAAGAAACCAGAAGATCTGGACTGGGATATCAGTGAGTTTATAACACAAATACAACAATGCGCCTGGAAAAACACGCCCACCTTTAAAATAAAAAATAGAATTACCTACTATCCAGCAGAAATCACAAAACTTATTGCTGAAAAGAGGCGACAGAGACGAATATGGCATCAGACAAGATATCCACAAGATAAAAGAATTCTGAACAACCTTACAAAACAACTAAGTGAAGCAATTCAGAATTACAAAGACGAATCAATGAATAGTTATCTACAACAACTAACCAGCCATCGCACGACAGATTACTCTCTGTGGAAATCTATGAAAAGCTTAAAAAAGCCAATTCTGCACATTCCCCCTATCAAAGATATTAACGAGCGGTGGGCAATAAGCAACGAGCAAAAAGCTATAAGGTTTGCAAAACATCTAGAACTCATTTTTGAGCCAAATGAAGAGCATGAAGATAGCGACTTATTAAATGAAACATCAAATAATGATGAGCAAGAAATAAAATTCGTAACACCTAGAGAAGTGTACAACGAAATCAACCGCCTTAGATTAAAGAAATCACCTGGTTACGATCTTATTACTGCAGAAGTTCTTAAAAACCTCCCACGTAAAGCCATCGTAAAAGTTACGACTCATATCAATGCAACGTTAAGACTTCAGTATGTACCTGATCAGTGGAAAGTTGCCGAAGTTATAATGATACCAAAACCTGGTAAACCACCTCACGAAACAACATCGTATAGGCCGATCTCGCTGCTACCGACAATGTCAAAATTATTTGAAAAGCTTCTTTTAAAAAGACTAAAACCCATCATAGAAGAAAGAAATTTGATCCCTGACTACCAATTTGGTTTTAGGGAAAAACATTCGACTATAGATCAAGTACACAGGATTACCAACATTATTGAAAAGGCTCTAGAAGAAAAAAAAGTTTGCTCCACGATCTTCCTGGATGTAGCGCAAGCATTCGATAAGGTATGGCACAAAGGCCTTATTTACAAATTAAAAAACATGCTCCCTAAGCAATTTGCTGACATCTTAGAGTCTTATCTATCACAGCGTATGTTTAGAGTAAGACATGGTGATGCATATTCAGGACTCAAACCAATAAAAGCTGGAGTACCGCAAGGAAGCGTCCTAGGTCCCGTCTTGTACTTATTGTACACTTGCGATATTCCTGAATTAGAAAACAATACCATTGCCACATTTGCAGACGACACAGCTATTATGGCCATAGGTGCCACTCAAGAAGAAGCAGTGGAAAAAGTTCAAACAGCCGTCAATATCATTTTTGACTGGACAAAAAAATGGCGTGTGAAACTAAATGAATCAAAATCTGTTCACATAGACTTCACAAACAAAAGGACAAATTACCACCCGGTAAACATAAATGGCCATGTAATACCATACGAAAATACAGCCAAATACCTAGGCATGACATTAGACGTAAAGCTTCGCTGGAAAGTTCATGTCAAAAAGAAACGCGACGAGCTAGATCTACGCTACAAGTCGATGTACTGGCTGATAGGAAAAAATTCTTCGCTGTCAGTGCACAACAAAGTTCTTTTATATAAACAAGTCCTCATGCCTGTATGGACTTATGGTATTCAGCTTTGGGGCTGTACCAAACAAAGCAATATCAAAATTATACAGCGTTTTCAAAACAAAGTACTCAGAGGAATCGTCAATGCGCCCTGGTACATTCGAAATGACGACCTTCATCGGGACCTCAAAGTAGACCTCGTCATAGATATAATTAAAAAGTGTGCAGAAGCCCATGAGCGAAGGCTTCACCACCATGTGAACATCGAGGCTATCCAGCTCCTCGACAACACGGACATAGTGAGAAGGCTAAAAAGGACAAAACCTTTTGAGTTAACATAGTGAAGTGTTAGTGTAAAGTAGTGAGTGCTACCGGCAAAGAACACAATAACAAAGTGTCTTCCCCTTAATAGAGACAATAAGAAAAGTGTTAATGGACACATTCTTAGTTATACTTTCCTAGCAAATTAAGACAAAATAAAAAAAAAAAATGTAACTGTTTAACTAAGTAAGTAGACTAGTCTTAAGCTCAAGTTAGCTGCGCAACGCGTCACCATGTCATTTGTCGCGCAACACTATCCATGACTTGTGAGTCCCTGATGTGGCTCGAAACTAGTCGAGTTGTCTCGTCAAACACTTACGTGAATGAACAACACATTAAAGTATCTGTAAATAAAATTTTGGTAAGAATTACAGCAAATTTGATGTATGTCGATATTTCAGAGCTGTTCGGCTATGATATTCTAATCGACGACATGCTGAAACCGTGGCTGCTGGAAATCAATCTATCTCCCAGGTAAATAATACAAGATTACTTACAATTCATTTATCATACACTAGCTACTTCCGCGCGGTTTCACGCGGTTTCACGCGGTTTTATAACCTAAAGCCATCCTCGATAAATGCGCTATCCAACACAAAAAGAATTATTTAAATCAGACTTGTAGTTACGGAGATCAGCCCGTTCAAACAAAAAAACAAACTCTTCCGCTTTATATAATAGTATAAGATTTATAGGCCTTTTTTGTTGATAACTTGTGGAAGCCTTCAAAAGCGCCTAGCTTTTTTTGGGAGAAAAAACTAGGGAGTTCGGAAATCCTATAGGGGATCATCACCTATAGTGAGCACTAAGTCCTCTATAATAGACCTGCTCCCGTACCCTCAAGGTGTAACGCCTGTTACAGCACATCCCTAGGGACATTCATAAGCCTAACATGGTTTCTTTATTTTATAAGAAACACGAATTATTCATTTGTTACTTATTAAAATAACATTTAATTTTATTGACCAATTGCTAATATTAATCACCATTCTCGAGCCATTATCATCAATCGGTTGCGACAGACTGTTGACATTATTTCTTTAGAATTTCTACCAAAAGCTTTAGATCGATATTGGATTCAAATAATAAGGGCCAAGCGATGTTTGACCATTATCTCGCCTGGTGGTAAGCGATGATGCGGTCTACGATGGAGTAAATCGTCCCATAAGCAACCTATTCACTCGAGCCTTGAAGACACCCAGGTTATACCATTTAGGACTACAGACTCTGGCAAAGAATTGCACTCCTTAGCAGTACGCACAAGGAAGTTTAATGCGAGCGCTTCGTGCGTGTGGGTGGGACATGTACCATGAATCTTATGCTGTATTTTCTCCTCTATGTCTACAGCCTGGCGTGTGAGAGTCCGCTGGACGCGCGCGTGAAGTCAGCCCTACTTGCAGACACGCTGACACTGGTGGGATTGCCCGCCGTGCCCATGTCTAAGGCTGATATATCCACGCAGAGCAACTCGCTCAAGATGAGGATTGGAGCGGTAAGTTGGTTATTTTTTATGTTTTACTGTAACTTAAGATCGTTTACGTTGTACTAATGAAACAAACAGAAAAGGCGATCTAAAAATTTGCTGATTTTGAAAAACTTAAGAATGTCTGAGGAAAAAAAAAGGGCAAACATCTCGTATATGATAAAGGTCATTTTACTACAAAATGGTACTTTGTTCCTTGGAGAGTAAAGAAAAATTTCCATAAAATTCGTTCGCTCACAATTTCAGAACTTAACTCGATTGAATACCTTTCCACGTTTCCTATTTCGGGCATGTTCGACTAGTTTCGAGCCACGTCGGGACCCATACTGTAACTAAATGAAACAGCCACCTTTCACGTATCTCATTCTCGTTACCAGTGTCGCCGCGTACACTCGGCAGAGAACGTGTTCGTCCGCGGCAAGCGTGCGTCTGCGGAGGCGCACGGCAGCGGCAGCAGTGGCGGCCCCGCGGCCAGCGGTGGCCACGCGGCCAGCGGCGGCCACGCGACCAGCGCCGCCACCAGCTCGGGCTCCGGGGGCTCCGGGGGCTCGCTCACTGGGGAGGAGCTCCGCCTCGTCCGCGCTGTCAGGGCGCAATACGCGCGCCGCGGGGGCTTCGTAAGAATCTTCCCTTCACAAAATTCTTGGCAGAAGTATTCGCAGTATTTGGGTGAGTAAACTTCAAAGACGTGATGGAATACTTTTTTTGTTGCAGTTTAATAAAAACAGACTGCCTCGTTGGCCGAATGTTCGCAAGTGCGAATACCAGGCAAGGCGTCTCGGGTTCGATTCCCAGGTCGCGCAAAATACTACTGGATTTTTTTAACTTTTAAATAAATCTCATTTTAGCACGGAGTCTGGAATTGTGCCCGATATACGGCAATAGATTCACCCCCTATACATGTATGTATACATGTGTAGTCCCATGGGACTCATAACATTAATAGTGAAAAGTGGGTGCTACATTGTTCAGTAGCATTAAGTACCGTAATGTGCACCTCTTCCTATCCCTTCGGGGATAAAAGGCGTTATATTATTTTAATAAAAACAGTTCAAAGACCCATTAAGTAAGTTGAGATTGTAGTTTCATGTTCGTTAACAGTTCATTGGTTCTTGGTTGGTAACAAAGTTGTTTTAAAACATTTCTTAGGATTTTGAAATCATTCTGTATTCACCGTTAATTGTTTTCTCTACTTTAATAGTTGACCCTTTGGTAATGCGCTGTGTATGTCGCAGACCCCGTGACGGGCATCCCGGTGTGCTCGACGTCCCTGAACAACAACATCCCGTACCAGGTGGTGCAGCACAACTACAACCTGCTGGTCCACTCGCACGTGCTGCCCCACTTCCAGCACGCCACCGTCGCCACCAGCCTCACCGACACGCCGCAGAGGTACTTTAACTTGTACTCAAATATCGTGCCATCTCTGTCATTTTAGAAAGATTTTGTAGAGACAGAATTATGCTTAAGCGCGACTTAAAATTGAGTAGCATTTGAGTACTTTAATGAAAGGAATTCTCTATCAAACCACAGTATAATTTATTTATATACAAAATAGAAAGAACAGATCAAGTTAAATCCACCGATGTTCTATGTGTAAACCAATAGTGCTGTGTAAAATTGGACTATATTTTTATCCTATTATAGATTAAAAAACAAAGTTCGTTGATTGGAACGCGTCCAGCTATAAAAAGTCATCATCTTGTATTAAAAAGCTATAAATACTAAAACAATATTCAATGTTATAGACTAAAGCGTTACGAAGCAGTGAGCATCACTTGCCAGGCGCCGGCCGTCTGGTTGGGGGAGACTACTCCTCAACATCACGATACTAGGAGAGCTAAGGAACTTGTCAAACGACAACTCATGGATGGGATGAAGCTCACGTTAGTACTACTATATCAATACAAAATAATAATATTGTGTTAATAATTGGGGTGGTCCCAATATGCTTCCCTGAGGAACACCATGAAAAATTTGTTCAGAGTTCCTTTCAAAATGTGCACTACTGATACATAGCTTTTACTTTGTTATGCGTGGAGTTTTTCTATATCTAGAAATCGCATTCTGCACTAAATAATAGAAATGTTAGCTGTATCGAAAGCTTTAGTAAAGTTCAAAAAGATATACTGTGACTACCCTTTTCCAGTAAAACAACTTCAACTATCTTTTAAAGAAGATCGATGTACATTTCCAGGATGGGCGAGGCTCGTCGCGCCTTCGGTTTATACCTAACGCACGTCTTGAAGCGGGTATCATCCCCCAGCAACGAGCTGGGCGTGGCGCACGCGTCGCTAGTACTTCGGTTCCTGCGCAAGGCCTCCGCATCACTCCGTATGCCTTATAATGTAAAGGTGATCAGTTCTATGCATGGCTTTTACACCATAGTAATGGTATTTCTTTGACAACTTTAGCTAACTAGATAATATGTTGCTGATCTAGAGACAAAAGTACTGTTAGACCTCTTAACCAAATAGTTTTCTGGGTGAGGCAAGAGGGAGTTTTAGACTCTTACTGACAAAAAACCACCCTGTTTCTACTCTTCCTTTGCGCCGGGGCCCTGATAATCCGCCAGGTCATCCGTATCGGGACGAGCATCAGCCTTACTGGGCCCCATTTGTGGTGCTCTGATAGCTCTGGGTGCCCTTAACTTGTAATCATTTTTCTAATGCGACTGGTTTTGACGGCAACATAATAATGATAAAGTTTTTCGAAGAAATATCCTCTCGCACGCAACCTGAATGTTATACACTGACACTGCATGTTATTGATTTTAGTTTAAGATTTTTTTTTATTGATTTTTACGGCATGTTTGCATGATTTGGAGTCTGGCTACTGCTTGTCATTTCTCCCACACAGAATAATATTTTGTTAATAATATTATCAAACGGCACATAATCAGATCAATTTATTTGCTTATCACTAACTGCAACTTGGGTAACCTCACTCACACGACGAAACACAACGCAAGCGTTGCTTCACGTCGGTTTTCTGTGAGGCCGTGGTATCACTCTGGTCGATCTCTTAACTAAAAGTTGATTAGCGTGACGTACCACCTACACTAAATCCTCACTTGTACTATTGTTTTTTTGTTTGTTGTTAAGAGACTCCTATCTTAGCGATTCTTTAAAATTTAAGACTAGTTGAATTTTAAAACGGGCATTAGTTTTCTACTAAGAAGGTACCAATAATTTTGTCCATTACCAGGGTCCCCCAGCGAAGATGTGTGACAAGGACCGTTGCGCCGTGATAGCGAAGCAACTGAACGACTTCCTGTACATGTACTACAGGGAGACAGACCTCTACACTGACAGCGAGGACAAGGAGGGCTGCGTCTCCAATATACACTTCGCGCAGTTCCTCTACTCCGCTAGGTGAGTAAAATAATAAAATGTATTTTTCATATAAAATATGAATTATGTCTTTTTCAGTGGTATGATGAAGGTGTCACTCCTAATGTCCCTTCTGAGTGCCAAGCACGAATAACTATCGCATTCGTAACGTAATAGTATCGAGCGCGTTCGGCGCTCTGATTGGCCGGCTCAAGTGAAACAACCAATCATAGCAAAAAACGGCTCACAGTAAAAATTAATAATGATGTTTTGGATTGATGCATTTAGCAGCTTGTCATTAAGGATCGTTTTCTTACATTAGTTCTGGCCAAAACTTAAGTCGATTCAAAGATTCATTACTCTATTTCGTTAAAAAATTGCAGACTTCGTACCTGTATAAAGGAGGTCCATAGTACTACTGGAGCAGTGCTGTTATCAGCTGTTGATGTAGTAAGTACCTTACATATAAAAATTACCATCAAAATCTTTGTTTCTCCAGCGAGGCAGACCTAGAAGACGTGTTACTTCTGCAACTAAAGATGGAGAACTACCAGACGACGTTCCTGGGCGACACCCGCAACATGTTCTGCGTGGACCTGCCCCCCGCCCGCCTCTGTACGGAGGCCCCCGCCAGGCACACGCTGCTCAAACATCTCGCTTGTCTCTCGCCCAATAATACTAGGAAGTACAGGTATGTGAGCAAATTCAATGCATTTATATAATATCTATTAAACTATGTAGGCGATCTTTTGAACCGGTAAAATTATCCGTCAGTTTAGATGCTCGGTCCGGTGTAGATTCATAAAGTTCGTACACTGTACGAGTCGTCATTTCACATCCACTTTAATTAGGTAGTTTCCATGGTATCAAAAATAAAAATATCTAATTAGAAAAAATATTAGACACAAATATTAGATTTTTATTTTCTCAAATTTAGTTGCAATACTTAGATAAAATGGCGCTAAGTTTAGGAGTGGGAGGTCGTTACGTCATAACGTGCTACAAAATGTGACGTCACACGATATTTCAAATTAATATATCGTCCAAAGTATTTAATTTTGTGAGAATAGAAAAAATACGTGTCTAAAGTTTTAAATTAATGTACCAGACGGACATTAAAATAAAATTTAGGAAACTACCGTATTGGTTATGACATTTCCACATTAACGTTTGAGTTACTGGAACGCATAACTAAGCAAAACACAATGTATTTTTTTTTATTATTGTGTCTCATAATTTACACGGAAAGTCGATCAATAATCTACTTATAATCTTATGTCTTAGATGATGGTCTAACATCCAATTTTTAACCCTCAGATCTGAATGGATGACGTGGATCAACACAGCTGCTAAATTGGGGTATACTAAATTATATACGTTTGGACATGCTTTGTTTTATAATTCAATCTTTTTAATCTTTTTCTTTCTCGATCTACATGTTTTTTTAACTTTGGTGTCGTGATTCTGCTCTGTATTCAGTTTCATAAAATATTGTTATCTTTTACTAAAACAATGGAAGCAATCTAATAACTAAAGGTTTGCGCAAAATATGTCCGTTTGCGCAAAACATATTTTAGTTTGCGCAACTGATGTCAAGTAGAATTTTCTGTTCGACTTTTGCGCAATGAAGATTTGAAGTAAAAGATGAAAATATTTGAATTCTTGCGCTAACGAATGTATCATGGAATGTGTGCTTTACGTGTTCAGTTTTGTAAGATATCAATACCGTTTACGAGCCGGCAATCATTGTTCAGTAACATAATTTCCCTCAAAATAACAACCGAGCATATAATAGCCCGGTATATGGCAATACGCTCACCCCCTATTACATGGGACTCATAATATAAATAGTGAAAAGTGAATGTTACATTGTGCAAACGCAGTAAGAGCCATAGATAATGTGCACATCTGCCTACCCCTTCGGGGATAAAAGGCGTGATATTATGACATGTATGTTATTTAAATTCTATTGGTTGCGGATCCTAAACGGCAAAACTCGCTTTTTCTTGTAAAGTTTTCTAAGTATGGTTTAAAAATATAATTCGCGACATACGTAACTTATTTTGTATTACGTACTATTATTATTATAACTTATTATAATAGATGCATTATACGGGATACTTATTATACGGGACTCATAACATAAATAGTGAAAAGTGGGTGTTACATTGTACAGTGGCATAATGTGCACCTCTGCCTACACCTTCGGGGATAAAAGGCGTGATGTTATGTTATGTAACTTATTTATCGGTTTAGATTCGACTACTTCCATTTTGCCATAACATAAAAGATATGTCCAAATTCTAACTTTAGTACGTAGTATAATAAATTATAAATACCTACTTGGAAATCTTCACGCCAGCTAATCATAACATGAGCGTAATTCATGGCGGTCTGCTATCATATGAATATATCCATAGCTTGCCTGTCATTAACGGCGATGTAAGCCGCGGTCTCGTCAGGTCTATCAACCGAGGGAAGAAAATTACCACTTAAAACTTGTTGTGACAAGTCTAAGGATGTAAGTCCAATGTGTGTGGCTTTTGTATTGGTTTTTATTTTAGAGTCAAGCCTGGGATACTGTAGGGGACAAATGTGCTGGGACACCTGTCGCCGGCGCGCCATGTGAAGTAGCACGACGTTGCCGGACTTTGGTCGATATGTCAGAGGCCGTGCCAGTTTGTTTTGCGTTAAAAATAATCGAAACGAGACTGCATTCAGCGCTCTACGTGTTCTGCATTGTGATTTGCCGGCTCTAATGAACCAACCAATCAGAGCGCCGGACGCCGCCTCGTTTCGATTACTTTGAAACGTGAAACAAACTTGTACTAAGGCCGCTGATTGGTTGGTTCATTGGAGCCGGCCAATCAAAGTGCCGAACGCGTACTTGTGTCTAATACCGTTAATGGGATGGATAGGGATCAAGAAATGTATGGAGACAGAAGAGGGGTGAATAGATATTCGGAAATCCTGCACAGTATCGATTCACCCTTCTTCTGTCCCTATTCACATTTCGATCCCTATTCACCCCGTAAAACGAACTCGTACTAAGGTCTAAGGCCTCTGGCAACATCAACTTCACTGTAGATACAAGTTGCGCGTTGTCACCGTATATGTCAGTCGACATCGACTGGCTTCGCTCGACATGTCGCCGATACATATCTTGGGACATCTGTACCCCTAGTGTATCCTTGGCTTAAGTGTGTGCACCGTTAGGTAGGGATTTATATTTCACGGTTCTTTTGTATAGGTAAGTATAAGATGCATGGAATGATATCAACTTTAATTGCACGGCATAGCAAAATCAATCATATCTACGCAAATGTAACCTTTAACCTAACCTCATTTGTAAATATTTAAAAAAATATTCAATCCTTCACAGTGTGGTGTTGTAGTTACAGTGTAAATAACAACAAATAACATTATCATGCATGCAACGTACAAGAAGTTTTAACAATAATAATATTTTTGGATATTTATCCCAAGGTCACAAATAGTTGACTTGCAGTAGTAGTTACCTAATCTAAACGTATACTTGCGTACTGTAAGAAAATAATATATTACTAGATAAAATCGCAGGTTACTCACGTGAAGATACTGAGAAAAGCTCTACTAGTTTCGAAACACAGAGGGGTCCTTCCTCATGAGCAGCGTGTGCGGTCGCGGCGATGTTGCGCAGCTCACACAGTGCTAAGCAACAGTGAGCTGCTCATGAGGAAGAACCCTTCTGTAGTTCGAAACTAGTAGAGCTTTTCTCAGTATCATCACGTAAGTAATCCGCGATTTTACTTAATTAAATATGTCTCACGATGTTATTATAAAAACATATCACAAGATACTTGCTAAAATAAACTTCAATTTACATATCAGATAGATACAATTTAAAAAAGAACAAAGAAACCACAAACCTCGACCTTATCTACACAGTGTTAAGACCTAAACTCCTTTTCACAGGCAGTCTGACTCCCAAAGCCGGTCAGAGACAGACACGGATAGCGAGCAGACGCGGCCTCCCTTCACCAACTCAGACGTGGTCCTCAAGGAGTCACTCAAGGAGGAGAAACCTTTCACTCAAGCCATCAAGTATGCACGCTCGTAACTCTTGTAAGATCCAACACGTATTTTTGCTTGATTATGAAATGTGTTGAAAAAATGAACGTGTGAAGAATAATCGTATTTATTTATTCGGTGAATTAGGTACAAAATAGCAGAATTTTAAAGGCAGTATTATAAAAAAAATAGAAGAAACAGAGTTAAAAGTAAATTCTAAAAAAAAATGTATAATTCGAAAAGCCTTCAAAGTCTAAATGGAACGTTATTGCTACACTCAATATAATAATAATAACAAGGGCAACAAGTAACAACCTGTATATATTTATAAATTTCCCGATCGATTTCGATCATGGTGGCCAGTCTAACTAGACTAGCCCACTACGCAGAAGATATTATAGTGCACAAGTGCGTGCGCAAACAGAAGTGCACTCTCTGTTCCCTCACTGTCTGGACGAGGGGACGCCAGGCCGACACCACGGGAGAGAGGTCAGGCCCAGACCAACGGCTTTACGTGCTTTCCAAGGCACGGGGGCGAAACACCGCCGAACTTCCTAACTCCAGGCTAATAATAATCAATTTACCCAGAAAATGCCACACTTTTTGGCGCGGAAATACAACCTGCGACCCGTTGCTCAGCGGCCGGTCTCCCAACCAACTGCGCCAACCGTTATATCACGAAATTATATAGACTTCTTAAAAGTTATGGTAGACATCATCACTTATGACCGGACTAGACAGTGATCAAACATCGAATTATTCGTACAAACACTTTTTAACTAACACGCATGTTTGTAGAAGACTCAAAACACAAATTTTTTCAACACATTTCTCAATACAAAATGTGTTACCAGCTACTTACGTCAAATGTTCCCTTAGCCTCAGCTTTCTCTATACTCACGTATTTTACCAAGTTACACCTAAGATAATACCATGTCCCAATTGTTTATGTACAAATTAATACCAAATCTAGTTATATTAAATACATACTAAGACGTAGCTAAGTGTACTATGTTTACGGAGTCATGCTTCGTCACGAATGGGCCGGTTCAACTACGGCCTCAAAGAAAACCGACGTGAAACAATGCTTGCGTTGTGTGAGTGAGGTTACCAGGAGCATCTCCCCTATAAGTTTGGCAGCGCCCTTGTATCTTCTCTGGCGTTACATGGGCGGTGCCGATTGCGTAACACCAGGTCAACGAACCCCTCGTTTGTCTCCCAATCCCTCAAAAACTTATTACCTAGCTACGTCAATGTATACTTGTTAAATTTACAATCAGATCTTATTGCTAACTGTACTTAATAAATTAATATCAAATATTAGAATATCAATAAAGTAATGAAATATAGACCTTATAGTATTAACAATAAGTTCTGATTGTAGACTGACTGTAGTTCTCTCATCGATAAGTTAAAATTAAAATATCGATTGTATGACGATCTTATCCTAGGACGGTTAGATTCTACTCTAGTTACTTAGGCCCATACCATTTAGGGGTATTCAGTCTCGAAGTTTTACTACCTTTTCGGAGTAACCCTGTAGATATACATAATCGAAATGCATATTTTGTATGGGTAGCATACCTTCCCTATCTATTGCGAATCTAACCGAACACAAGTCAAAAACAAAACAGAATCTCATACAAACAAAAAATAGTGAATCAGTAGTGTGATACGCGAACCATTACGACTGCCTTCCAAATAGTACAATCATGCACGATTTGCCTTCTAATGTTAGCAATAATTAATTAAAATATAAATTAATGTGTTTACCCAGTACCTGGCACTAGATATAATAATCTGAAGGTGCTATGTTAACGAAATTCTGTTGTAGAGTAGTAGCGGTTGTAGCAAGGCAACTGGCGTTACCATGGCAACGTAATAACAGCTTAAATAGAGCTCTCTATACATAGATAGAAGGACTGGCAACTTATGTCTGTAACTCCTCTAGTGTTTGGGGCTCCTTGGGCAGTGCCGATCACTTACCATCATCATCTGACCGCTGGTTTGTCCCCTGGCCTTTTCCGACTATTTATTTTATTTATATGCAGGACTAAGACAATACTAGTTAGCGTTAAATATAAAGTCTAGAAAACCTAGGACTGGCTTTCTAAATAAAAATGTGCATTTATAATAATATAAGCTCTGCTGTCTATAAAAATTAGATTATTTCTAATTCAATTAAAATAATGTACTGTAATGAGCAGAATTATGTGTGCAAACAGTTTAAAGATTGACCAGTCAATGAGCAGTTTTCTAGAAATATCTTTTAGGAGTGTTTAAATCATTCCACTCTGTTTTGATGCTATATATCTGGTATTGTCGCTGTGACCTGGCATTCTGCAAGCACCAATGTGACTTGTTCCGAGTTATATGTACTTCCTAAAGGTTATTAGACACCACTGATATACAGGGAAGGAAAACATGGACTTTATAATTTCAAGTTAAGAGTTTGAAATCGGAAATCTACATAGAGCAAGCATGTGACTAATGCGCATTCCTTCTCCGTGTGAGAAGAGGCTTTTTAACTGAGCAATCAAGCGGTCACCCGTGACCACTGTCCACTAATTCCACCATAGACCTTATTTCCGATGTTTAGAGACTACTTTTGTATGAACATATTTTGGGGATTTATATCAGGTGTACGATGTTATAAAACGGGTGATGTAAAGAACAGTTGTCAAAGGTAATAGCTAGTTGCATTGTTACAATCTACCAGTCAAGTTTGTTAGACTGACGTAGCGATATGTGAACGTACTTACAAATTACAATACGTCTCTCTAATGTTGTGATTGCCAATCCTATTGTTACAATTTAGCTTGCTTTGTGATATGGTCGAAATAGATAGACTAGATCTAAAAATGTAAAGGTCTCAGCGATTTTCGCATACCTGTTAAATAGTGACAAAGTTCATTGAAGGTGGGAATGATCGTGGTTTGGAATAGGCCCCTAGGAGAAATGATATCTCGGAAAATTGATGATTCCACCTGGAATAACTATCGTGAGACATGCTAAATAAATAAAAAATCGCGGATAACTCATGTGAAAATACTGAGAAAAGCTCTACTAGTTTCCTTATGAGCTGGGTACGCGGTCGCGGCGATGTAGCGTAGAAATGAGGTAGAACCCATCTGTGGTTCGAAACTAGCAGAGCCTTTCTCGGTATTTGCACGTGAGTAACCCGAGATTTTTAGTTAATTCATCTGAAAGTCTAGACCTCCCTAAAATTAGGCTTGAGCAGTGCCCTTGGTCTATTTATTTCGACTGTACTAGTTTTGAATTAAATAAGATGTCATGTAAGCATAAGGAATGATATTAAAAAAGTATGGTTACGTAAACTATCGGTATTTGTAAAGAAATGGCTACGTCTTTTGAAGATATCATTAAATGTCTTCAAAGCATTTAAGACGAGATTTCGTCTTATGTATCAGTTAATTTATTGCCTAATATTTTTAGAATGTAAACATAAACAGGCGAGTTTTTATGATGGTATTGTAACTCAATGAATGTGCTTATTGTATGTGTAAAGGAAGATACGAAAAAGGGAGTGAAAAAAATAGTAAATAACATAATTTTGAGCATGTCTAGATTGCCTAAGATGAAATGTAATAATTATCTTTTTTATATATTCCATTATTCCGCGAGTGTATGTATGCCGCGCCTTATGTAGTATTGTACTTACTTGTTGTGATTTGACAACCTATGCTAGTCGACATGGTCACACATCGCGCAAACGCCAAAGTCTTGAATTACCTACTTACTTATTTATTATTTAGATGCATTTAAATCTTTCTTATACACTTTTTAAGTTCATAAAGTGATAATTCTAAATAGTTGTAGCAATTTTAAAACTTCACATAAATATTGTACAAAAAATAAGTAAATTATTGCAATAACTAAATGAAATTGAAAACGACTTAGGTACCGTCCACAGCGCGTGATTGCATTTTGTTTAAGAATCTCATGAAATTTTAATTTGTATTGATATTTTTTAAAAGTATTACTAGTTTTAAGTGAGCAGTGTTTAGTTTAGTTTTATTTGTGATACTCCAAAACTGCCCAGATCTAAATTGTTTATCTCAAAATCTACAATGATGGTGGAGACTTGGCAACTATATGAAATGTTTGTAGCAGTATGGGCAGGATGAATGATGAGCAGTGCATGTAGTTGTAATTTTAACTCCAATATAAATAACTGACAGAGTGGTCTCGCGTGGAAGCAGGCGCCGATGTTAGAAATGTAGCTGCAATTACTGTCATTCCCAGCCACTAAACAACGGATCTCTTGTATATTTTTAAAAATTTATTATACCTTATGTAATATATTCGAAAATTAATATATAATTTATGCAGCCGAGCTGTTTTAGATATCATTTTTAATTTAAATATTCTGAACTTTTGTTTTAGCAAATATCAATGGATTTTTACTGTTATTTATTCAAAGCTTATTTTGTACTAGTAGTGCCATATACCAGGACGTTGGTCACAGCGTATCATGTACGATGCTGTCACTGGCGAGCGAGGCTTAGCTTGAGTACAAAGTGTGAAATAGTGAGATACATCGGCAAAGTTTTAATCTCATATATTATTATATATTACGTGAAAATATATTTTGAATATGCTAAATAAAAGTTAAAAACCAATTCTAGTTTCATTCAAAGAAAGCCTTTAGTTTAAAAAAAAACGTTACCCCACACTAGGATTATCTCCTGTGTCGTGGGTGCGTTTACAAACATACAAGTTCACATACACCTGACACCCAGACCCGAAACAACAATTTGTGGGTCACACAAAGTGTTATTCCATGCGAGAATCGAACCCGCGACACGTTGCGGCAGCCGATTGCCTAGCCACCGGCCACCGCACCAACCGTGCAGTCGATGCAGCAGTTATATGTATTTGTACATGTAGTAATGTATATTTAGTTATTATGTGGAAAATTGTCGAGTATCTAATGTCTGACTAGAATTAGATGAACCTTGAATTAATTTGGATGTACCTACCTATTTTATATTATCATGAATGAATCAGCATTTCGACAGATTTATTGGTGTAGTGTTTGAAGTAATGCCAGCGGTTTTTAAAATGTGCACAATTACATTTAGTGATTATGTTGTTATTTTTTCTGCCTTCATGTATTATCTAATGTATTACTAATTGGATTTCCTTAATAGAGGTATATGCCTTGTATTTATGAGCGGGATTCAAGCAGTCTAAATAAATAAACTCCCTGCCAAGATTTTCCCGGTAGGCTACAATATGAGGATCTTCAAAATAGGTTTATAGAGTCGGCAAGACACATGTAATGTCCTATGTGTTGCAAGCGTTCATAGGCCGCAGTAACCACTTACGATCAGGTGGACCGTGGGCTTTTCTTGCCACCATCGTGGTATAAAAAAAAACAATGTGTAAATATTTTAAAAAACATTTATTCTCACTATTCTCAAATTACAGACAGACTTTATCCAGTCTCCAGTCTCAAAAAGAAGCGGAATTCATAGGTGATCCAGTTTCATCTGTTCAGAATCCTCGAGTTTCACCCAGGCGCCCAAGTCCTGTGAAATATTGAAAAATATTAGTATCAGAAAGTTGGGCTAAGGTGCGAAAGTGACGTTACAGTTTATATTGCGACGTTTACGTTGACGTGTGAATATCGTCGTAAAATAAAATAAAACAGACGACAAATTAAAACAATCTTTGGCCAGACTGTCACTAAAGCATCGTAAGGCCATTATAATGCGCACTGCGCAGTCTTGCGCGATGTTACCCGTAGCAGACTCGTACTAAAGTTAAAATGTAGTGTGCAACATTTGTTGGAGTACGACTAACGCATTGTGTGCACATTTGTCGGTTTGGTAGATCGACTGATCGACTAGCGAGCTCGAGGCTCGAGGCTCGGGTTACGCACGCCGTTAACGTCAGCTGTTCTCTGCCGTACTTACGATTTGCAATTTTTCGCTTTCCTGTGTCTTCTGTCGCTGTCGCCTAACGTATACAGCATAACGCCGTCGCTTTAGCATCGACTACGCATCGCCGCCATAAGCTCGTCATCATCATGCCGCATCTAACTATCTGAAAGGACTCGCACGCACTTTGTGGTATGTCGCCGTTCGACAGCGGTATGTGATACAGACAGTGAGCCGTTATGTCGCCCTAAGCGGCACTCGCTCCCGACTGCCGCTCTGCTGTGCTCACGTTAGCAACACAGCTCGGGGTGCGTTCGCATCGAATTACGTGGACGCAACTTTACTGTTTATATCTTCTAATTGTTATTGTAAATGTAGGTTTAGGCAACATCTTTTGTGACCTAACTGATCGTTACGTGTTTACTGGTTTCGACATTTTAAATATCTGTAAGAGACTGGGTTTAAGGAGATCGCAAGATGTCAATGAACGCACCCCTGCAAGAGCACTACCTGAACAGACAGGCACATGGAACAACAAGTTTCGATATCGGTCAGCACGAGCCGACCGCGCAACATAAAGTTGTCCTGCAATAAAACCACAATTTTAAACAGGAGTACCGCAACCAGAGAGAAGCAGTATTCGAAGCCAAAGATCTCAAGGTAACATGCATGAAGAGTTTAGTGCCGGTAGGTGTAATTAAAGTAAATCTTTACTTCGAAGAATTTAATTTTAAATGTAAAATATACAACTTAAACAAAATGTATCTTAACATTTAAGACTTATCATTAGCGTAATCAATCCAAACAATTATATAAAACTAATTCGATCAATATGTAACATGGAGCATGTCAACATAACAGCGGGTGAAATGAAAACGTTCCGTCAATATATCTCGCATTTATTACAATGTATAAAGTGATTCACATAATTTTTCACTCGTACTGGACTTACAAGCTACATGTCCGCACCGCACGTGTCGCACGTTTAGTTCGACCGTCGCCCGGCACTAGGTACTCATTTGTTCGTGTCGCGGGTACTACTACGCGCTAGTACCGGCGCGGGCCCCCCAGACCTGTCAGCTCTCTACCGCGCGCCGCACCGCCCCCGCTATACAAACAACAGCACGCTTACGACCGACCCTCAGGGAAACAGTGACCACACCGCCTTAGCTCATAGTGAAACCGCACCTCCTCTATACCACTAACTAGCGAATCTCTCATTTATAGGGCACCGTAACTTTATATTCACTACAACCTAAGAGGCGTTCACAGTTATCTGGGAGTGAGTGTCAACAAATAATAACATAGCAACGCTACACCTCACAGTGGATAAGGTGGTACTGTATTAGTGGCATGTAGATAATTACAGTTGGTGTTTTGATGATGTTTATGTGATATTTGCATGATCCTTTACGATGATGTGCATTCAAGTGGTAACAGTCAACAAGGAGTTCACAATATCTTCACATATTAACTGTAAAAATAATTAGCTAACATAATGGATACAACCAGTTTTTCTAGTATATTTTATTTACAAGTTTTCCTGTTAATGGAGTAAACATGGTAGGAGTTCACAGATAGTCATTATATACTTCATTTCAGTGTATTTAAAAGCACAGATTGCAACACAAATACGCATCTTAGACATTTTAATTAACTCAATCATCTCCGTTTACTTATCGGATCAGTTTGACCATTATTAATTGAATGTAAACATGACTATTAATTTAAGTTACCACAAAACAACTATGCATTTATTAGACATCTATGCTATTTCAAAACAATGAACAGGAAAACAAGTGAATTAAAATAAACAAATTGAGAATTCCTTGTAGGCTATTACAAAAGTCTAGTAAATAACTGCAAGATCTTACCGTCCCATGGGAGGATACTGCTGGGCGTATGGGTCTCTATCATATCCAGGGCCTGCTGCGCGCCTGTAATGACAGAAAGAATATCTTAAAATGTTTGTTTATGCAATATACAGTAGGAGTCTTTAATTACTAATTAATCAACAATTATCATTGTATAAATGTCGGGTATAGTTAGTTATCTTTATGGTTTGGTATCTTTAGGGTCATTTTTTCAAAGTTCAGATAAATTTTAACTGAGGAATAACTTTCAATACTTGACAATTCTTCCATTCTAAAAACTGTCAAATGTCAATTTTATTCTACAGTTAAGAATTAACTGATGGTTGAAAAATCAGCTCCTATTCATGTTTAGCTAAGTGCATAATTTGTTAGTTTCCTTAAACTGTCAAACACCAAGCGGTCACCGGTGACCGCAACCTATTGTTCTATAATTGTGTCTGTAACGATGGTACTTGACGAGTTAACAATATTAAATTACATAAAAACATGTCAATATGCAGTAATGCGATGTGTTATTGCAATAATATAGTGACATCACTTTGTCATGTACCTTATTTCCAGTATGTTTATATTTAAAAAAATGTTTGTGATAGATATACAAACAAGATTAGGTCCATGAGTACTGAGAATCCTTCTGATTTGATTTCTTGAAAACATGATAAAGTTTGTGTACCAGCGAACGCATATTAATGTAAACAAGATAATGAGCATAGTGACTCACATGGGAGAACGGCGACTGAACATGTCACCATTGGGCAGGGGCTGCGGTCGTGGCGGCAGCGCGCGCTCGTATGGGAGCTGCTGCGGGGCCGCGCGGAGTGGCGCGCGCCGTTCCATCAGGTCGCGCTCATCTGCGTACATTGGGGCGCGCCGGTCGTCCGCGTACATCGGGGGCATGTCGTCGTACCGCCGCTCCTCCGGGTACATGGGCGCCGCACTGGCGTATGGGTCTCTTGCACCGCGCTCCATCAGGGCAAAACCGCGCCTATCTTCTCCTCCGTATCCATTGTAGCGGTCATCATACACTGGCGGTGGCGGCCTCTCGGCGCGCTCGTATGGCATCGGTCGCGGAGCCATCTGTGGGGGACCGCCAGGCGGAGGGCCGCGGGGATGTGAGGGCCTATCGCGAGAGTAAGGAGTGTCGCGGGGTGGCGGGCCACCGCGCATGGGTCCACCGCCGCGACGGTCCATGCCACCGCGCATACCTCCCCTCATGCCACCACCGCGGCCACCTCCGGGGCCTCCTCGCTGGCCGCGTTCCTTGATGCGACCGCGTTCCACTGAGATGACGCCACCGTTAAACGGTGTGTTGTTTAGCGCGCGAATAGCAGCAGAAGCTTGTTCTTCGGTTTGCATGTGTACAAATCCACACCGATTCATGATGTCACATTCTGTTACGACACCAAACCGCTCAAATAGTTTGCGAAGCTCCTCCGGCTTCGAGCCCTGCGGCAGGCTGCCGACGAACACCTTCGTTTGCTGAAATCAAGGGAAATATCGTAAAACCGGTCCAGAACAATTTATAACTGAATTATCAATCACTGAATGTTTCACTCACCGGCACCATTATCACTTATTTCACCCTAAATACTTAAAAAACTAATAAAATCTATTATTACTGCTTCAGCGTAACACTATGACTTTGCTGTCCGATCAAAATGGCGGCCGGAAATTTCAGCATGACGCTTTCTGACGCTGCCAAAACAATGTTGCCAGATTATAAATTGGGTTGTCAAAATCCCTTTTGTTATCAAACGTTATGATCGTCGTTGGCCGATTTTGTGAATAAACAAATGTATTATAAGGGATTATATTGTAAAAAATAGCAGTAATAAATAGTTACAAATGTGTTTTTTTTAGTTCAATCCAATCATTTATATCAAATTAAAAAGTTAAGACCTATACACTATCCGATAAATCAAGAAAAAGTCCATGCTGTGACGTGGTTTGATTAAAAAATGAAATCCCTATCATAAAGGGATGCTACAAAAACACGAACTTCGAAATTTTGTAATCGTGATCGTTAATTTATTTAGTTTATTGCTTTTTAAGTTATTTGGATTGCAAATAAAAATAAGTAAAAAAAATACAAATGACTAATCATTCCAGCTATTTGTTTTCCGAAGGGGTAGGTAGAGATTCTAAATATGTCCAATAAGATGCCTAGTCAGTATACTAACCATTTCAGTCAGACAGTACCAGTCTTTGATTATGCCCAATGCGGTAAACGGGCTACTATCCCAAGTATTTTGTTATTTTATTCTTATTACCGAGACTCATTGACCGTGACCATGTCACATCTTCACATATAATTTGGTCATTCTATTTTGGCGCAGGAACTTTTAATTATCAGAAGAAAGGTCTTAATATTGATAGATAACCGAAAATGTCGCTAATAAAGAGGATAAGTAATGGAAAAAACAACAAAAAGGCGAAAATATTATTTTAATAAAACTATTTTTTTTATATTTATATCGGTGTAAATAAGATACTTAGTTGAAAAATTAATGAATTACAAGCATAATTATTAGAAGATAAACATAGTGAACTATAAACTAAATAATTTATATTAAACTAGCTGGTTACGCGCGGTTTCAACCGCTGTTCGGATTCTAATTGTGATAGCGTGATGTTCTATATCCTGTAGCCTTCCTCGATAAATCCATTAGGTATTTAACAGAAAAAGAATTATTCAAATCGGACTAGTAGTTCCCGAGATTAGCGCGATTTGTAGATATTATAGGATTAAAATAGAACGTAAATATTATGTTTGCGGCTTACTCACGTAATTATTTGACGAGGAACTCGGTTAGTTTCAAGCCATGCTACAGGCTCATTTTCATGAGCAGCATTTCGCGACCTGCGACTGTCGCGCTGCTACAGGCTACTCGAGTCTGCGGGCCCACCGCACCATTTGCCGTGATTCACGCGCGTCAAATAATTACGTGAGTAAGCCGAAAACATAATAATTTATTCAGTAAGCATGTCTCACAAAAGTCATAATACAAATAAATTATAACATATTGGATGTAATCTATTTTTTTAAATGATAAGTTACCTGTAATGTATATATACCATTGCAAATACCTTGAGAATGCAGATATAATAGGTAGGTACTTATAAATTTTTAAAACTGATCATCTTTTATAATAACTAATTAACTTTCTTTACATAGCAATACGATAGTCTGAGCATTAATCTGTGTATCATAATATCTGTGACCACAGCTCATAGCCACAGCCTGGTAGCTAAAGACTATTAGGTCAATTTTAAATTACTCTTTCATTAAGTACTTCATTAATAAAAAAAAAAACAAATACCAACCCACTTTACTCATCGAATGACAGCTCCCGCCTGGGTGAGGCGGGAGGGAGTGTCAGACTCTTACTGACTGAAAACCACCCCGGTCCTTCTCCTGCGCTTCGAGCCGGAGCCTACTACTATAGGTGTAGTTGACTAGTAGGTTATCCATGTTACTTATAACAATACCCATATAGGTACATAGATACTGAGTTAACTCTTTGAGTTGACAGTTTAAGTATAATAGTTACACAACATAACTTCACGCCTTTTATCCCCGAAAGGGTAGGCAGAGGTGCACATTACGGCACTTATTGCCACTGTACAATGTAACACCCACTTGTCATTATTTTATGTTATGAGTCCCATGTAATAGGGAGTGAGCCTAATGTTATATACCGGGCACATTTCCAGACTCCGTGCTACTACTGAGATTTTTTGAAAAACACGATCAGGAGAATATTAAAAAAATCCGTTTTATTCTGGGGTTTAGTACGAATTTGTTTTACATTTCAACTTTAAAATATTCGAAACAAGACTGCGGTCGGCGCTGATTGGTTGGTTCATTGGAGCCAAATAGAGCGCCGAACCATCATTATCAACATCAACAAGCCTATAAAATGCCCACTGCAGAGCAAAGCCTCTTCTCACACGAAGAAGGTTTGAGCATTAATCACCACGCTTGCTCAATGCGGGTTGGCGACCGCCGAACGCGTGTCGTACTGGTCGTACCCTCTGAGGTGTCATAGTAAAATTAATAGGTACCAAATATTTAAACTAAACGTCAAAAACAAATAAATGTTCCATTTCCCCACTCGACTGGGCAAAATGAACAGCTTAAACAATAAAGTAGCTTAGCTAGATAACTGGCTATCATCATAGCAGCTGTATAGATATTATTGTAATTTATTGAATTAAAATGTATCGGCTAATGTTACATTACTTTAGTACATAAGTGCAAATTACTTCGCAAATCAATGGTCCATAAACATATAAGAATAATTATCATAAAAGCAATAGTTTCAAATGTCAGCTAAGGCTATCCAAATAGACAGACGCGTTATTCACAGACTTCATTAATTTCGTCACTTGGAAGTTAATGGAATTCCTAACAAACTCAGCCAGATTATATTTGTTTAAAACACCGCAGAGATGCGTACAATTGAAAATTTCAAATAATCTAATTTGTATTTTATCTGGATCGTTCTGGTGGAGTAGTTTCGGTGGTATTCTTTTAGCCTTCTTGTAAATACTATCTGCTAATATCGTCAGGTTATACGTCAACATTTCGTTATTCTTTCTCGGTTCCACGCGAGCCATCCGCCCCAGTAGATAGCCTGGAAAAAATATAGAAGAACTTAATACTAATAAAACATGAACTATCCAGTTGAGTGTATCTAACTTTTGTGAAAAACAGTTCTTACAACCGAGTAAGAAATATGATCTGTAAGTAATCTGTACCTACCAGTGTTGGTAGGAATTAAGACATAGGTGCATATTACCTACCAACTAATAAATATGTAGGTAAAGCACCGGTATTTACAATAATCTCAATTGTTATTTAATCAAAATGATAAGCAAGATGAGAAATCTTGCAATGGTGTTTGTACATCACGATTTTAGTGGCACAGAATATTACAAATACTCGACTGTAACAACAGCTGATGTTAGCTAACGCGAGCTTTTATCTAACTCATAAAATTCTACAAATTATCGGCCACACTCTCCCAAAACAGTCGTTCGTAGTAAATTGTATCACATTATTTAATCGTTCGTATAAAATACATTCACCCAGCACGCGTGTTATTCCCATTGCCATTATTATAATTTATGAGCGAGTGTGACAAGTTTGTGTAAATTAAAATCGGTCTTACCTCCAAACATACACAGCAGGCCAGTCAACAGCACGATGATGGCAAGCAAGCGCTTGGTGACGTGCGGCGCCTGGTTCACGCACGATCTGCGTTCTATACTCATAATTTAAAAATTACAACTTTTATTAACAAAATATTCACGGCACTCGAGTCGTTTCCCGCGTGAAATGGTAATAATTCGTGGCCGCTGTGGACGGCCGTGATACCTATTTTATTTTTAGCTATCTCTGCATGTTGTGTCTGTGTCGGTGAATGATCTGTCCGTCATTACATATTTTGAAGAATTCCTCAATGGTTGTCGGTTTCCTTTTCTGTAAAGTGACGTCGGGTTTATTTTTGTTGTTATAAGTATTTGTCTTTACACCTGTTGCGCGTTTGTTGGCGGCTAATGTAGTAGTTCAGTAGGCAGCACTTTCCCGAGATGTCATAAGACAGTCTTCCTGAAATATTTTATTTTGTTTAACGTGTGCACTTCTGTCTGTAAAAGCGAACTGACTGAAATAATAACATGTTGTTGCTGCCATTTCCCGCCCACCGTGATGTATGAAGTTAGACATTATGGCGGGAAGTAATTGTTCCCTTCCAGTGGGAGGAATGAGACTTACTCTTCATTAGCCTGACTACGACAATGCGTCATGTCTGTGAATCAACGACGGCATATTTTTATTGTTAAATATCCGGTGTATAGTTTTGGGGACACAACTACACATTAACGTATTAGTTTTATTCGGATTGTAGAAAAAAATTGATTCTTAAGAAGTGTCTCAAGTAGTATTTTTGATTTTACGTGATAGATAAGCAAGATACTTTCTTAAAACCTGTACAAAAAAGCAACTTTACTGCTCGAATTACACTATTGACGTCAATCGTATTCCAATTCGTTTAGTCTATCCAAACTAAATAGCAAATAAATAAAATTATATAAACATTGGAATAAATAGAGCAGGGTCACATTACTGGGAGATTCCGTTAATATTAAACAGACGCAGGTGAGATCGAAATTAGATAAAGAAAACATTAAAGCGACTGATTGGAAGATCTAGTGATCTAAGTTTGAGAGAAATAGATATTGGCACATAAAATAATATTACGCCTTTTATCCCCGAATGGGTAGGCAGAGGGCACTTAATGCCACTGTACAATATAATACCCACTTATCACTATTTATGTTATGAGTCCCTTGTAATAGGTGAGCCTATTGCTATATACCGGGCTATTAGATATGGATATTGAATTTCACTTTGAAGATGAAAGTTTGGAGAATAACTAAGGGTCTGTTTATCATTATCTGATTCAGTTACAATTATCTAACATTTTTTTTCCCTATTTGGCAACCGAGTCTCCAAAATGATGTTGTCGACTATACTGCCAGTGCCACATTATCCGTCATTAACTTCATCAGGAATTGTGAAACAGACTTTTAGTTGGAGAATAACACTACCACAAGCCATGCTTTGGCACGGATGGGCTGGCTCGACCGCAGTGATACCAAGATCGAGCAGAAAACCGACGTGAAACAACGCTTGCGCTGTGTTTCGTCGTGTGGTTATCGGAGCCCCCCCCCCCCTCCCTAATCTCCCCGATCCCTGAAGCCCCAATAATCCTCAAATTCATAATCTCCAAATGGCCGGTGATGCCTTTGGTGTTCCAGATGTCCATAGGCGGCGCCGATTGCTTACCATCAGGCGATCCGCATACTCGTTTACCGACTTGTCCCATAAAAAATCAATTAGCAAAAATACCGCGCTTGAAGACACTCGATCAACGTGTCGATCTAAAAATCTGTTTACCACTTTTCATTCCTTTTGTCGTTTATGTGTATTTTTGAATTAATATAATTATTTTGTGACTCATTGAGTTGAAAAAAAATGAAAAACATAAATACATAATTACATTATCATTTATTGTAAAACGATCATTATAAAATATTATCAATAATTCTATAATATAATACTAATTAAAACTATATTTTACAATGTCATATCTATTAAAATCATAATCATGAAAATTAACGTGGGAATATTGTTATCACTATTTTAAATCTAATTTTGAATTCAAATTATAAGTATAGTCCAACAAATATCTTTCTAAAAGTCATTTTTAAAAAATAAAAAAAGAACTAGCAAGGAATCTTAATGCTAAAAGTTTCTAATTACTAATTGTTTTTCTCAAATAATTTTCGGGTAAGAGCATTTCCGTAACACTATAATGCGAAGATTCTTAGACAAATATTCACTGTACAGTGCACATATACATTCCTTAGTATTGTTCCACAAGTAACACTAATTCACGTTCAAATTAAATGCTCCTCTATCTATTAATATCTTATTTGAAATGGCACATAAAACCTATAATAAAAAAGATCTTTTCATTTAACTTGCGCAAAATATGCGCAAAGGGTATTAAGTTTGCGCAATCGTTTAAGAAAATTTAAAATATATTTTGACTTTTGACATGCCATGTAAAATGTTCTGTAATTTCCTCTAAGATGCGAGATTTATTTACAAAAAAGAGGATTCTTTGCGCTATTTACTCGATGTTCGGCAGAAATCAATAATCGACCTTATTTCAAAATCTCTGAATTACTCTAAGTTTTAGACAGATACTCAATAGAACTAAAGTCAGTAAACAGTAATAATCTAAAAAAATTTGGCTAGTATCGTCTATTCATTTTGACCGATACCGCTGCATGTATTTTGTTGTATTTTTATAACATAATTTCTACTGCTCACTGGCCCATGTTAAACAGCATTTTGAGGTCTTCAATGGTAAGTTTGGAGTTGTTGGTATTCTTGGCGCCTGTGAGCACATTCTCTGCCAACTCCAGTTTGGCTTGCTGCAGCTTTCTGATTGATTGCTCCACCGTATCCACGCACATGAATCTAGGACAAACGTTTATGATGAATTAATAATATTTATTGATGAGATATGAAGAACTGTTTTGTTTATGTTTTCAAAATTGGTACAGCAGTTTGACCTGAATATGTAAATCTATTTTGCGTTCTGGTTTAGCGTCCACATCTGGCAAATGCGTCGCGAATGTGCTGCTAGCGAGTTGTTTGCGGGCTGCCCGCGAGCTGCGCGCGTGCAGTCACGGCAATGGTTTGATGCTCAACTCAACCAAGGTTCTAATAAATAACAATTTTATGCACGCGGGCTGCTCGCGAGCTGTGCTTTCTCGGACCATTCGCTAGATGTGGACCACCCTAAGCATCCTAATCTGACTCAACTACATGAGACTAATAACATATTTGGTGACAATCATGCGAACATAGAATCTCCTCCAAAACACGACCGTCACATGTTTTGCTTCTCATAGAGGCATAATACTTCATTACTTACCTAAATTCCTCTTCCAACTTCTCGATTTCATAACCCAAAAAGGAACCGAAGAAAAGTATTAAAAGATTTAGGGTCGGCAGACTAAACCACATAGGTCAATAAAAACTTTTTGTTATTCTTATACCAACAACGTTAAAATAAATTAATACATCGACAGACTAAAGCATAGAAGTCACAGTCTTGACCGACTCAAAATAAAAAGCATTTTTTTGAATACATATACGGTATACCTGTCTATACTCAATACGTTTGATTTGTGTGGGATAAATACCACCTACCACGTACATTTCTGCACTACTCTAAGGATGACTGACAGAGAATGCTGTTGGCATTATGTCAATAGCAATTGTATAGAACTTAAAAAATAAATAAATAAAAAAACGATACTATGTATTGTCTACCCCTGTTCCCCGTCATTGATTGTGTAGAGTTATATTCTGACAAAGCATTGTTTTAGTTGGCAGAAAACATAGAAAATCACTTGCACAAAGAACCAAAATGTTCAATAGATTATTAGATAATAATTTGTAGCAACGATGCGCTGACGTCACAAATGACTTGTCGGTGCAAATATCTGGCATATGTAGCTAATGAGGGAACTTGGCAAACGACTGCGTTCTGTCTGCAACTACAATGACTTTCAAAACGAAAGTGGGAACCCGAGGTTCTTGTTAATTATTGCTGTTTCAATGAGTTATTTAGGGAGTAATTATTAAGAACTTTGTTACTATAGGACGTAGGTAGAATGAGAACATTTATTTTGCACCTTTTAAGTATCGAGCGGGAGTCAATATTTTTCTATCCTTACACAAAAAAATGAGGCGACATTCAATATTAACTCGTCGAGTACCGGTTTTGTAGACACAATTATAGAACAATAGGTTGCGGTCACCGGTGACCGCTTGGTGTTTGACAGTTTAATAATAGCAACAACAAATTAAACAGTAACTGGGATATTAAGAGACAATTAATGATTACCTAAACTATTCCTTAGTAACGATTTTGTTCCGAAAACAATTGTTAAGGACTGGATTAACCCTTTGAGCACCGTCATTATAGATACAATTAAAGAACAATAGGTTGCGGTCACCGGTGACCGCTCAGTTTAAGTAGCCATTAAATAACTGAATGCCACTAAATAAATGAAGAGAAGATTACCGCCGTACTCAGGTACGGCGGTAATCTTCTCTTCATACTGGTCAACGTGTCACGGATTCGTTTCCAGCTTGATGAACACTCTGTGTGATTCACGAATTGTCGTTCCGCGTAAAGTGTAAATGAATTTGTATGTTTGTGCACCGTGGTTGACAGACCTACAAATCCTTTGTAAATGACAAATGTTTGTAATTTTTCTTTGTTGTCCCTGGTCAGGAGGTTTGAGTCTCTTATAGGAATGTTACAATTTAAAAGTTTAATAACTGTTATAATTGGATTTAATATTATATTCCACATTTGTACACCAGAAATGGTCAAACATGTTGATACTATGCTCACTGCTCATCTGTACAACTTATAATGTGCATTTATGATGTATTATTATTTAACACGTGTTTTTGCAAATAAATAATCTTTGTCTTTGTCTGATGTGGGGTAACGTTTAAAAATACTAGTTGATGATGGACAATGATATAGTTACCTATAAATATTAACGTCCTTGGTCTGTCCGACCCTGTAGATGCGGTCCTGCGCCTGTTCCTCGAGCTGTGGGTTCCAGTGTGGGTCCAGTAGTAACAAGTGGTTCGCTCCACACAGGTTCAAACCCACGCCACCAGCGCAGAGTGAGAGTAACATTACCTGGGGACATTTATTGAGTTAAGATTCATACTGTTTGTAAAAAGGGCTACCGAGAGTCTAGCGACCCTGGCTGGAATTTACTCTGGCACTTCAATAAAGTATTTGCTAATGTATAGTCAATAATGGACAATAGAAAATAGACAATAGAATAGATAATACATTTTTTACAGTTACGGTGATGAACAAACGCTAGATGGGTACCGGAAACAGGATAATGGTAGCTGTGGATTGTGGGGATTCATGTTCGAAATATCAAAGTGAAACTTAGATTAAATAAAGTTAAAAAAAAACCATGGATGGATCATTGATGGCAGTGAGTAGCGGTGTCCGCGCGGGGACGGGCACGGCGCCGCTGAGCGTGACGATATATATCTATGTACTTTGCATTACCTTGACGTCGGAGTTAGGATCATTGATGGCAGTGAGTAGCGGTGTCCGCGCGGGGACGGGCACGGCGCCGCTGAGCGTGACGATATATATCTATGTACTTTGCATTACCTTGACGTCGGAGTTAGGATCATTGATGGCAGTGAGTAGCGGTGTCCGCGCGGGGACGGGCACGGCGCCGCTGAGCGTGACGATATATATCTATGTACTTTGCATTACCTTGACGTCGGAGTTAGGATCATTGATGGCAGTGAGTAGCGGTGTCCGCGCGGGGACGGGCACGGCGCCGCTGAGCGTGACGATATATATCTATGTACTTTGCATTACCTTGACGTCGGAGTTAGGATCATTGATGGCAGTGAGTAGCGGTGTCCGCGCGGGGACGGGCACGGCGCCGCTGAGCGTGACGATATATATCTATGTACTTTGCATTACCTTGACGTCGGAGTTAGGATCATTGATGGCAGTGAGTAGCGGTGTCCGCGCGGGGACGGGCACGGCGCCGCTGAGCGTGACGCAGCGCACGCGGGCGGCGGCCAGCTGGGCCTCCACGAGGCGGAGCACCGACGTCCACTGGGATACTACTACTGCTTTGTGACCTGTACACGTAATATTACACATTTAATTTCGGTGAAAAGTGGGTACATTAAAGGCGGTAATGTATTAGGGCCGTATCATACGCGGAGCGGGCGCGCAACGTATTCGTTACGCACAACAAGATCACCGCGAACTGCAAAGTGGACACCATTATTGTACGGAGATAATTTGCTACTAACACTCGGCGCAAACATAACGTATTCACTGCGCGACCGCTCTGCATCGCAGCCGGTTCCAACGCGCTAATATGATAAGGCCCTTATAGCGAGGCAATGAAGCTTTAAAAAAAATCGATAAAACACTCCTCCAGATTTGAGATTTGGGATGAGGGGGACGCTGACATTGGGCCCTCCGGTAAACACCTTTATTGTCAACAAAGACAACCAGTAGCTTTTATAAACTTCAAAACTTTCAGTAACCTAACTGCGATTTAGAGACCAGTTTGCCAAACTTGAAGAGTATGACAAACCCACTGTTACGACCCTTTATTCGAAAATGGACCTTATTCAACAGTCGAATAGGGTGCATATTCCAACCAATGATGAGGCAATACTGACCTTTATGAACGAAGACCTCGTTGTTAAGACAGTCCATGACAGCTTTGATCTTGGAGGAAGGGTTGCTGAGCTCAAATACCGGGTTGTTGGGAGACAGTACTGAACGGATTGCTTCCGCCGCTGTAGTACCTTCTTGTGGGGGGCCTTCTTCATCTTCGTCGTCGGATTTTTTACTCTGTGACATTAAAATTAAAATGCACTTAAGATAGATACAAAAATGGTGGCCAGAAAATGTATCTGACTATGATCTACATTCCGGTAAATAAAGTCAAAGTCAAAGCTATTTGCTCATTCTAAAGTGTAGATTCCTATGGAGAAGAACGAGCAAGAAACTCCATAGGTTACTCTTTTTTAATCAGGTTCACAATACAATTCTTTAAATACATAGTTTTGTTGTTTGGATTGTGCAAGAACAATGTAAATGTAAACATTTGCTTAATAGTGCACCCAAATATTAGGTAACTGGTGCTTTTTTACTATCTCAGGACTTCCATCACCTTGTTTGTAATTTCTCTGGTGATTAATGCTTCCTTCTTTGTGTGAGATGAAGCCTTTGCCCAATAATAATACGACCCCTATTACAGTGTTATTGCTGGGCAAAGGCTCTGATAATGATGACCCCAAGCATGAATTGCTCATACATACTTACGATATCCGTAGTGGCCTTACACTTACGGTGGGTTTGCATATTATCTCTGTATACAGGTGACTTGAAACTCGACGTATTCCTCTCGAGATGTGATAATACAACTAATTTCCTACAAAATTAGTCTGAGGTCTCTGGTCCGAAAGTGGCTAGTTTCTGAGATATTCAACATTTTCGGTTTTGGTGAAAAATCCCGATTGAACTACAAACACATCAATAACGTCGAGTTACAAGTCACCCTCTATATGTATGGCTTTACTATCATTCGTGACCTATTCGCCATCCCCAAGCTACTTGTGTTGGTGGCTCGGAGGTTTAAGTCGCCCGCTTCTAATGCATGATGATGTGGGTTTGAAACCTATCAACGGTAAGTACCAATGTGACTTTTTCCGTGTCACATGTACTTTCTAAGATTATTTAGACACCACTGACAAACGGTGAAGAAAAACATCTTGAGGAAACCTGGCCTTATAATTTCTAATTATAAGTTTGTAATCACCAACCCGCATTGAGCAAGCGTGGTGATTAATGCTCAAACCCTCTCCGTGTGAGAAGAGGCTTTGCTCAGCAGTGGGCATTTATAGGCTGTTGATGACTTATGATATCCCTTTTTTTTTTGAGGGGGGAAAATCATCCAATGACTTCTCCCGCCCGGGTGAGGCAAGAGGGAGTGTCAGTCTCTTACTGACTAAAAACCACCCGTTCCTACTCCTGCACTTCGAGCCGGAGCCCCAGCAACCCGTTAAGTCTTCCGCGGCTCCGCATCGGCATTAGCCCTGTTGGGCCCCATCTGTGGTGGTCTGATGGCTCCTTGAGGCGCGCGCGAAACGCGACGCGCCGTTCTCGGGCCTGGTTCTGGTCGGGCGGCGAATCACCCGTGCTCGCCGTCCGCAGGCCCATGCGACTTTTGATATCCTAAGTCCTTAATAAAAGCATAGTAAAATGTACCTTTCTCCTAGAACTAGAATCTTCAATAGACAGTTTATTGAGCTCAGCCAATAGATCCTGTCCGGCGGAGTCCTCCTGGACGTCGGCGGCGCTGTCCTCGTCCAACATGGCGGCGATGAGGCCGCAGTGGCAACATACTTGGCGCAGGCGGAGTAGGAGCACCAAGATCTCGTGAGACTTTACTGGTTTCGCTCCTGGAGTAGAAGAAATAAGAATAACAACATAACATCACGCTTTTTATCCCCGAAGGGGTAGGCAGAGGTGCACATTGCGCCACTGTACAATGTACCACCCACTAGGGGGTGAGCCTATTGCCATATACCGGGTACAATTTCAGACTCCGTTCTACTACTGAGATTTTTTTAAAACCCCTGCCCGGCAGTCGCTCTTGCTACCACTCGGCCAACGAGGCAGTCAGACGTTGAACGAGTAGAAAAAAATGAGTACATAATAATAAATATTGTATGTATCAGTACAATATCCAACAATCTTCAAATTCCTAATTCCCAAAAGGCCGGTAACGCACTTGTAACGCCTCTGATGTTCCGGGAACCCTAGGCGACGCTTACCATCAGGTGATCTATCTCCTTGTTTACCGGCTTATCCCATAAAAAAGTCTTATGGAGTAGAATATACAGTGAAACCTGGTTAAGTGAGACATCAAGGGACCTGCAATGTAGTTTCACTTATAGAGGTATTCCACTTACCCAGTGTCTCAGATATACAGGTATAAATAAATAAATATCTGTCTCATTTACAGAGGGTTCCATTAATAGAGGTGGACTTGGAATTACGTGTGGAATTTGTGGGTAGAATAAGAATGAAGAATCAAATAATGTTATCTCAGACTCAGTTACAGCGGTTTATGTATGTAAAATTTACTCGCTATCTCAGTTATAGAGGTAACTATGATGATAAATAGAGTTTTACCTCGTCCCACTAACAGAGGCCAAAGTGTTGGGACCATGAGTTCCAGTTATGGAGGATTCTCACTTATCCAGGTCCCACTTAACCAAGATTCACTGTATTTGTTAAATACACTTTCCGTGTGAGTCGTAAGAGCTAACTAAGAAACTACATTGACAAGGTAATATCGCTTTCTGATAAATCTGAACCGTTTAAGCTGCGATTTCTATCTTGCCTGCTAAGAATGGCGATACGGAAAATTCTTGTAGGTAGGGTAGGCCAGCAATTCAGTGGTGAACTGTCTGTTATTTAATTTATTTATAGAAAATTTAAGCTATTTGGTAATTAACTTAGTTTTCTACATCATGTAATTACAATTATAACGACGAACCTTGTAAGGCGATCATTTTCTTATGCATCTTGTGGTATGCGCTGTTCCCGGCCGAGGTAAATCCTTGCGCGTCCGAGTTCTTCTCAGCGCGCTGGTGTAGGAACTGAGCGAATAGTGTCTTGGAGAACACTAACACCTGAGGAATAATAATAATTTTTTTGATTGAAACAAGTAGACATTTTTACTCAAGGATGACAATAGGATCCATTATAGTAAAAATAGTATTCACTATCGTGTCACACGCTACATTAGACAATAGAAATCTTAAGTTTTTACTCCGCACGAGTTAACCATGAATATGGGCTCCGGTTGAGTTCGAAACTAGTCGACCGTCCTTGTAACAACAAAAGTTGTCTAGATTCAAGATTTTTTCCCTTTTTAATAATCTCCTTACCTTCTGATAGACATTCATCTCCTGGGGTTTGAGTGTGACAGTCCTGGTATGCGCGGTCCGCTGCGGCAGACAGGCGAGCTGTCCGCGCTGGACCAGTTGTTGCTTGGTGCGCCGCAGTAGTAGACACTGCATTATTGTACTCAGACGCTCCTGCCCGCCTAAACTCTTGTTGTCTATCCATTTCTTCCACATCTGGAGATAACGAATTAATCATTCACATATGTATATCAACTATAGAAGAATTTAAACTCATAAAAGTGGTTATTTCTTTTATTAACATAACATCACGCTTTTTATCCCCGAAGGGGTAGGCAGGTGCACACAGAAGTAAAACCCACTTTTCACTATTTATGTTATGAGTCCCATGTAATAGGGGGTGAGCCTATTGCCATATACTGGGCGCAGTTTCAGCCTCCATGCTACTACTGAGATTTTTTTTAAGCCCAGTAATTATTTGCCCGACCCGGGAATCGAACCCGAGGCCCCTTGCCCGGCAGTCGCACTTGCGACCACTCGGCCAAGGAGGCAGACATTTCTTTTCTTATTGTTACAAATTCTTGTTGACTAACGCTCGAATACTGAAAGGTTACTCAATTTAAAGTTGTACTTAAATATCATGCCATCTCTATCATTTTACAAAGAATTTGTATACTCACAGTGAGGTCATCAAACGGCGAGCAGCGTAGGAACTTGAGTAGCGCGAAGAGGTCGAGGTCCTTGTTCTGCACGGGCGTGCCCGTGAGGCACCAGCGGCGCGGCGCGCGCAGCCCGCCCGCCGCGCCGCACGTCGCCGACTTGTGGTTGCGGACCACGTGCGCCTCGTCCAGGATCACGCGCCGCCAGCGCACGCGCGTCAGCACGCCTCGCTGGGATCACCATTCAACCAACGTCACGCCTTTATACCCGAAGGTAGAGGCAGAGGTGCCATAAAGTAAAAGGGAGTGAGTGTATTCCCACATACAATGCACAATTCCAGACTTCGTGCTACTACTGAGAATTGTTTTCAATACCCAGAAGTATTTTGTCGGAGCCGGGAGTGTATTTGTCACTGTCATAGACATACGTACCTTCTCATTGTCCCTCTGCATGATGTTGTACGTAGTGAGCACGAGGTCGTGTCCCGCGAGCCTGCTGGCTTGCTGCGTCCTGCTGGCGCCGTGGTGCTGACACACGGACAGCGCGTGCGGCGCGCAGTGCTTGCTATACGTACCTTCTCATTGTCCCTCTGCATGATGTTGTACGTAGTGAGCACGAGGTCGTGTCCCGCGAGCCTGCTGGCTTGCTGCGTCCTGCTGGCGCCGTGGTGCTGACACACGGACAGCGCGTGCGGCGCGCAGTGCTTGCTATACGTACCTTCTCATTGTCCCTCTGCATGATGTTGTACGTAGTGAGCACGAGGTCGTGTCCCGCGAGCCTGCTGGCTTGCTGCGTCCTGCTGGCGCCGTGGTGCTGACACACGGACAGCGCGTGCGGCGCGCAGTGCTTGCTATACGTACCTTCTCATTGTCCCTCTGCATGATGTTGTACGTAGTGAGCACGAGGTCGTGTCCCGCGAGCCTGCTGGCTTGCTGCGTCCTGCTGGCGCCGTGGTGCTGACACACGGACAGCGCGTGCGGCGCGCAGTGCTTGCTGACCTCGCCCGCCCACTGCTGCATCAGGGACGCCGGGCAGACCACCAGCGTGCCTCCGCGGGCCACTGGGGTCATCATACATACGTTCATATGGTTTTTAGTCGTTTTTTAGGGATGTTAGTGACACTTAAACTGTCAAACACCAAGCGGTCACCGGTGACCGCAACCTATTGTTCTATAATTGTGTCTATAATGACGGTACTCGACGAGTTAAAGTCAAGTTTAGAACTTAATTTCAAACCACACATCCATTCATACAGACTCAAAGACCTAGTCACTTTTTTAACTCGTTAAGTATCATAGACCGTCATTATAGACACAATTAAAGAACAATAGGTTGCGGTCACCGGTGTCCTCGCGGTCTTTGACAGTTTAATGATGTTAATTAACTAAGTCAAAGTCAATCAACTAAGTACTAGTTCTAAGGAAAACGCTGTATTTTGACAGCCGCGATACAAACTGTGCGTAGTATGGCTATCATTGTATACTGGACAAACATGTATGCATTGGGCGAGTAATAAGGAATTGTTTTTTTTAATAATCCTGTTATTTAAGTTTCTAGCACCCTTTTTGGTTTCAATTCAATTTTTGCACAAGCTAGATGGCGTGAGTGAAGTTTAAAGTCATGTTTGTCAAATAAATGCAGTTGGCGAAAATTGACTCTAGTAAATTAATCTTTTGAGAAATCTTGAACTACCTATGTCATATTTTCAATATTTTTTTAAGAACTATTTTAATTCGAAGACATTTCTTATCTTCTGTTTAGTCGAAATCACGATAGCAAACTCATACAGTATAACTGAAGAATAGTCACGGCAAAAATTGTTGAAATATAGTGATCTACACTTAGACAAAAAGTTAGACGAGAAAGCTACTTACTTTTCCCTGTAGCAGGTCCACCATCATCATCGTCGTCATCATCATCGATCTTGTCCTCCTTGTCGCTCGCTATCAGAGCTATCATCGTGATGGTTTTACCCAGACCCATGTCGTCCGCTGCAGAGCAAAATTATAAAAATTAATACCATTCTTTAATGTAACTAATGGTATATCCTATAGTTGGGCAATTACAAACGTGCGAAATGTCACGTCAAAGGAATATGACAATGTTGCACAACTCTCATAAGTGTGAGCGAGAAAATTAAATAAAAATGCCTTTATGACACTTTGCACGCTTTTAATGGCCGAACTATAATTTGGGGTTACTTATATTAAAAAAATCAATAGCAAGTTAAACGGGTCGCAGTAACGATAAGTCTTATAACTATGAAGGAGATTTAGCTATTTCAGGTGATTCGGTACTTCAGAATGAACCTTTAAATATTAATCTAATTAACAATTATAGTTACTTTACCTAGTATTCCAGCCCTTGGCCTCTGGGTCTCCCTCCAGCGCAGCCAGGCGAGTGCATGGAGCTGATGCGGCATGAGCGTGGACTTCATGGCGCGTGGCGGCGTGGCCAGCTCCGACTCCGACGGACGAGACGCCAGCGACTCGTACAGGTCGCGGAGACGGTCCAGGATCAGGTTCCTCTCAGCCATGTGAGTCGCCATTGCTGTGATAAAATGATATCTTAGTAATTTTTTATGGCATATTGCTGGAGATATGGGGTTTCGAAGTGAGGATGTTAGGAGGGGAATTGGGTCTCTGGTTAAATTACGAATGTAGTATAGTGGCGTATACTCACCCTGTTTGCCAAACATGCGCGGCATGACAGCATTGCTGGCCTTCTGCAGCTCGTCCCAGCTGAGACCCTTCTTATCCACGTCCGCACCTGGATGATCTATAAGAATAACATCATAATCAAAGTTCTATTGCCATCTATTACAACTAGTAAATTCTCCAATAAGAATTGTGAAAATTTACCAATACTTTAAGTTCAAGTTCTTTAGTGCATTCCTCAGTAGGATACAGATACAGATCTTCAAGTCTATACTAATATTATAAAGAGGAAAGATTTGTATTTTTGTATTTTTGTATGTTTGTAATGAATAAACTCAAAAACTACTGGACCGATTGCACTAATTTTTTCACCATTAGAAAGCTGTATTATTCAGAAGTAACATAGGCTATATAATATCACGCTAGGTCCTATAGTTGTGGAGCAGTAACCAAAAATGTTTTAAAAACGGGGGAAAAGTATCGTTTCTGAGGCCTTCCGTGGCGTGCGCTGAGCATATAGTTAAAGTTATACAAAAATGCTCTATAGATGAATTGTTCATCTTAACATTATTTTTAAAAAAGTCCGCGAGAGCATATGTCTACCTTTTATAGTTTACCCATAACAATCGTTTTAATGAATGGTTCAATCCTTATAAAAGTTTGCTCTAGATAACTTTTGAATTGTTCAATAAATGAAGTCCGGAAAAATATTTTCAAAAGGTAAATACTTCCTAAATAAAAAAAAACTGAGAATAAATATAAATAAAACGTAAAACTATGTAAAAAATCTTAAGTCCCCCCGTGCGAAGCCGGGACGGGCCGCTAGTTAAATATAATAAAGTAGAACAGAGTAATAATTAAGGCTCCTGTCTGGTATAGGAACACAGTAATGAATTAGTCGTTACCTTGTTCGACCACCATGTTGGCGACCTTCTCCCCTTGTCTTCGGAACTGCTCCTCCAGACTGGTCATCCTCTCTATAAGCCTGCCGCCGCCGTCCGGGAGAGTATTCACATCCATCTCTTCGAGGAGGTACTGGAGGCAAACAGTACAGTACAGTAAAGCATGGTGGACTAATATCTATATCATATAATAATTAAGCAGAAGAGCTTGATGGATCACCAGAGGAGTTGCAAGACTGTTGCCGGCCTTTGATTTTAAAGAAAAAGCTACCGTCCTGCCATGCAATAAAAAAACCAATATAAAAAAACCTACCTTAACGTTCTTCAGGTCTTCCTTCAGTGACTCCAGCTTCATCAGCTCGGCTTCCCTAACATGCTTCTTCACATACACGACCTGCTGTCCAGGATGGCTGGGAGGCATCAGGTACTTGGTGATCGTCTTCGAATTCTGAGACATTTCCTCCTGTTTGGGCTTTAGTGACTTTCGTTCTTTTGGCGACTTCGATTCTGTATTTGGCTAGTGGAAAGATATTTGAAATGTAACGCCTTTCAATCCCAGTCCCTTTAGCCAAACGTCACTTTAGCGCTTGTCTACAGAGAGAGTAGAAATCAAAATGTATGGGGATGACACTGACAAGTGTCAAAATTTACGTCAATTCCATATAATTTGGTTTTCTATTCTATATGTAGACAAGCGCTAAATGGCATTTGGCTACAGCTGCAGGAGAGGAACGGAGAGGAATATAATTAGAATATGTAGCACCAGTGGCGTAACTACGGGGTGGTAAGTTAAAATGCCACGGGCTCCCAGCTGAAAAGAGCCCCGTTCAGAGGTTTTCATTTGAATTTTTATGATATGAAAAACAGACATTAGATAAATTTTGCGAACGGTACAGTTACGCCACTTACCTGTAGCACCCACGAATTCGGATGTTATGTTATGAGTCCCATTTAATAAAATTGTTAAACAACCTATATAGATACATTGTGTTTGAAATATGCGTGAGAATTTTTCGAAAATCATCCGACTTCCACTTGCGGCCACTCGACCAATAAGGCAGTCGATTATTTTATGTTGACTTTTATTGTTTTAGGGTTTGAAAATACTTGCCCAATCTGGGAATCGAACCCGAGCCTACAGTCGCGTAAACACCCTTGAACAACAAGGCAGTGGAAATAACAATTTCGTCACAAATAAATTGTAAAACTTACAGATCTCGGACTTCGAGGCATCGTGGCTAACTTTTTATACACTTCACAGTGCACAATATTCAATCATTTAAATTCAAAATTAATAATAATTACACTAAATTCTAATAATAACATCACATTTAACTATAAATAATAACAATATATAATATAAATAAAGTAATTCGAGTCTTGTAAAATATGTCCAGTAATGGCGTCGTTAAATTCGATTTGATTATGACAGTTTTGTTCATAAATTGTTAGGTTTACCCACATTATTTTATTTTTAATTCGAGATTATGAGAACATGTATTTATTGTCTGTGCCATTGAGTACAGGTACCTGTACCTATACTTTTTCTTAAGAGGGGGAAAGTCATCGAAAGTACTGACTAAAACCTGCCCGTTCCTACTCCTGCCCTTCCAGCCGGAGCCCTGGAAACCCGTTAAGTCCTCGGCGGCATACTTATTCTACTTACGTTACTTATTCTTATTATGATTGCCAAGAGTATACTATTTGTATTTATTTATGCGAACATAAATATTACATTTTACAATTCTAGACCAATTTACTACATTCCATAACGTATCTGGTAGAAAACGAATGTATCTAAAACTCACAAAGTACACCTCTACTATGTAGTACGAAAAATTCATATAATTATTGATTTTATGTTATGAATGTGAAGTTATGCTCACCTCATCTTCATCATCGCTGCTCAACGCGATGATCTCCGGCTTCGTATCAATAATAGTGACGTCATCGTCATACCGTATAAAATTCTCCTTCGCTTTATTCAGTACCAAGTTATTAAGCACCTTATTCCTAAGGCTGCTAGGTGGATTTTTCTCTGTATCATTCACTATTATACATTCATCTTTATTCTCTAAGGATTTCCTTGCATTTATTGATTCATTTGTTATGTCTTGAAGGGGACTTGAGAAGGGGGAACAAGATATTCTAGAGGAATCTTGGTCTTCTGTAGTCTTCTCTGGAGTTTTTGGTGGTATTTGTAGTTCTGGCAGGTCTGTTAGACTTGCTACGGAACCCTGGTTTGAGGTTCGATGGCTCTAAAAGAGGAATGGTGTTGTTGTTAATAACATACTACTACACTACTACAACTAAGGGCAGCGCCTCGTAAACACTGTTGAACTTTCTTACTGCAGAATATATTGTAGTAGTTCAGAACAAATATAAAATTCAGGATGCATTAACCCGTTGAAATCCACCCCCTAAATTTGGTCATACAAAAGTAGTCTCTAAACATTACAAATAAGGTCTATAATGTAATGTAATATTAGTGGAAAGCGGTCACCGGTGACCGCTTGGTGATTTATGGGTTAAGTAAACTGGTGTATTACAAAATAAGATCACAAATATAATAAATTAAAAGTACCCTTAACAAACGAGCATGCATGAAAAGGCTGATCACTGTTGATGAAGCGAAAGAGGTATGTTCATAGCTGTTGGCGTTCCATAGACTCTGCCTACCCCCATGGAAGATAAGCGTGAGGTTATGTATGTATGTGACTATTATAAAAAAAAATTGATCACAAATCTATACTTACATCATCAGATTGTATAAAGTCAGACTCCTCACTATCATTATCCTTCGGTACCACACCCATGATACTCATTCTCGTTGCTCTGGACATCACCATCTGATCCTCATCAGGGCCATCATCATCACTTTCTTCATACTCCTCTTCAGTACTCTCATCACTATCATCAGAACCATCGTAAACTAACGATTTAGTCTTATCAACCTTTGCACTTTCATTCTGAACCTCTTCTTCGTCATCACTATCCATAACTATTTTACTCTCATTCTTAGATAGATTGTCTTCTATCATACTTTGATCGTTACTTTTCTGCTTATTCCCACTGTCTATTTTCAACGGAGTGTCCTTCGTACATAATAACTTTTTATGCTTGTCATGTTCTATGATGATTGAGTTTTCTGTATCAGAGTCGATAAGCATAATCCGTTTCTTGGTTTTGCGTCCAATTATTGAGTCATTGTTACTGGCTGAGGACTTCCTCATCAGTGGTCTGCGTTTTGGGACTATTTCAGGTGAAACTGCCTCATCTGTTTCAAAAGGTTTTAAAACTGATGTTAGAAGAGAATAATGCTGGCCATAAATGTTACAATGCAGATTTTACGTTCAAAGTATCACAATCAAAATAAGAACAGCAAGTATGTATTGAGTAAGTTTACCGTTATCTGAAGAACTTAAAACTACTTTATTGGAAGAGTCTGACTGCCTTCTGATACTGCCTCTGTTGCTTGCATTTGTATCTATGTGAAAAGAATACAGTTAGTTACAGTAACTCCAATTAGCCAATTATACAACAACAAGAAAATTAAATTTGATATGTATTAATTTATTTTTATAAGATTGTCATAAAAGGTTTATTCAAGTTTCAGATCATTTGGTTTTATGTTTGACAATTTCATTTATATATGTATTTTATCTTATCATCAGGAAATGTACAGCAAACCCTAAAAGTGAATTAGTATGCACTAAGTTTTATTAATTTAGTGCTAAACTTACAGGACATTTACAAACTTTCATTATGTATGAAAACACAAATACAACATTAATATATAAAAATGCTATCTAGTCTGCTTACCATCATCGCTGCTAGATATAACATGGCTATGGACAACACTGCTTCGTTTGACCACAGATTTGGATACATTCTTTGGTGCCTTCTCTTTCTCGTTATCTTCTACAAGCAAAAACAGTACATAATGGGAGAAAACACAATTTTGATCATGTCAAAGCTATTTTTTTATTATCAGAGGTTGGAATTAGCAGATGAGTTAACTTTAAACTGTTTCTATTATTGTGTAGTGGATACAAAGGGACTAATATTATCGTAATTTATTGAGATTACACTGGATTTCTGGATGATAAAAGTTCAATTTCGGCAGCGGAAATCACATATAGTTAGTTAGTTAGTTTAGTTTGTACCTATCACGAATTCAATGTAAATAATGTAATGCAAACAGGATCAGGACATCATTAGTAAACAAAACAGTGTTTATATTTACCATCTGTTGTAGATTCTTCAGATTCAGCAACGAAAACTGTGTGATTCTTCTTTTTTACACCAAAAGATTCGTCAACTAAACTATCGTCGATAAATTCCGATTCGGAACCACTATCGGCCGCTGTCTCGTTACGGTATTCAAAGAACGAACTATCCATTGTGTTTATAAAGTTAAAACTATCAGTTTACAATACAATTATCATTATTTATTGAAAATAAAAATAATGACCAACCTTTCAAAACAATTTTTGAAAGAAATTGTCGTTTACAACGTTTAGTTTTTGCTATTGATTGTCCTAAAACAAAGAGATTAAATAGATTAAAAATCTATATTTTGTTTAGTATAATTATGTAAATCACATCTTAGGCACATGCCTAAAATTCTTTGATATATGTATATGGATATGGCATTTATTAATGCAGAATTATATTTACATTCAATATCCCATAAATACAAAAGGTATTCAAGTTTTCATTTATTGTTGATCTGTCATAATAATAAAACTACATAAATATTTACAACTTAAAATTAACTACAACTAAACTATTAACTATTAATACAAAATAATTTAGCTTAAAATTAAGAGATTTCATAATTCTTGATTTGTATATAATAGAAGTATGTCATAATTACTGTGAATAAATAATACTTGAAGTATTATATATATAGTCTTTATTTTATTTTAGCAAGTAAAGCGGTTGAATGCTGAGCCAGCACACAAAATCTGAACTGAATCCACGTTTAGTTATTTTTCTTATGACATGACAGGAGTCAGGTGTCAAAACGTTCTATCTACTGATTACGATCGTGTTTGTGTTTGTGTCGCTAATTTCTCTATCATTTCTTCTCTAATTACTGCATAGAGCGAATTGAAATATAAACAAACAATATTTAGTAGTGTGTCAAAGAATTTTCAATCGCAACGATGACGGAGGTACAGCTTCAAGAGTTCAAACTAGAGCCGGACTCAGAACTAAGATTTGAAGTGGAATCTAAAAACGAAAAAGTAGTTTTAGAGGTAAACAAATTCAATAACAGGAGCTCTATTATACTTTATTTTAAAGGAATGTTAAATACAGTAATAAAACTACTTCTTAACTTGAAAAATAACACGTGTTCTTATGTCTTAGGTGAAGAGTGGTTATGCGGAACTTTTTGGCACAGAACTCGTGAAAGCGAAGCCATATGAGTTCCATACGGGTGCGAAAGTTGCTGTGTTCACGTGGCACGGCTGTACTGTGGAGTTGAGGGGTAAAACTGAAGTCAGTTATGTGGCTAAAGAGACTCCAATGGTGAGTACAGAACAATATGGAGCATGATTACAAATACCATGGTTGTTGTTAAATTTCATATAAAGGACGTTTTATATTATTACTATAAGTATTAAACTTTTATTAGTAACTTATAATTTGACTTGTAACTTGAAATTTGCATGCCATGACGAGTGGCAAATATGTCCAGGTGCAACTTTCTCATTTTCATCCTATATCCATGCACCTGTGGGTATAAGTGTATGGTATACACATGTTTTTTGCAAATAAATGATTTCATTTGATTTGGTTTTGAAATGAAAATCCAAGGGGCTTTAATGTTATAATTTTTTTAACATCGGATTGTATAATACTGTGCAACATGGTTGCATGCTATTGTGCAAGATAACTTAATGATAATATCTTGTCTTGTTTTTATAATAACTATCGTGAGACATACTAAATTAACTAAATTTAGTTATTATCTTGTCTGTTATATAGAATATTTATTATAATTGATTACTCAAAACTGGTCCTTGAGGTTGCCTCTTTGATTTATGTTATAAGCCCAACTAACAGATGTTAAGGGACAGAGACTCAAAAGGGGTGATGACTGGGTATGAAAAAAAAATATATTTAGTTTGTCACTTCGGAAATTACATTTTTATTTTGTTGAATAATAAAACAATACTTAGATAAAAAAAATCAAAGTAAAGGAGTGGGAGCTAAAACCTCATTTCTATATATACATTCTTAAGTGATGTCACACAATATTTCAAATATTTATACCATAAGAAATTAAAAAATATTTGTCCAATGTTTTGAAACAATCTACCAGATGGACATTAAAATAAAAATTAGTTACCTTCCCTATTCCATAAAGATGTGTTTTATTTATGTTTAAATATCTTTTCAGGTGGTATACCTCAATGTCCACGCAGCTCTTGAGCAGCAAAGAGTGGCAGCGGAACAGGAGTCCACTCGAGGTCCAGTCACCATGGTTGTTGGACCTGGAGATGTGGGCAAGTCCACTCTTACCAGGATCCTATTGAATTACGCAGTGAGAATGGGACGGAGGCCCATTTATGTTGATCTTGACGTTGGGCAGGGACATATTAGTGTACCGGGTACTATAGGTTAGTAGTACCTTAACTCGTCGAGTACCGGTTTTGTAGACACAATTATAAAACAATAGGTTGCGGTCACAGGTGACCACTTGGTGTTTGACAGTTTAAATTTATACCCTTTTATGGACAATCTGTGGAATTTGGTTAATATAGGGCTATGAACATTTTACATATTAAGCTGTCGTAATCTGATAAACAATTAGTGCATTTACTTCTGTGCAGCCCCACACTTTATCATACATTGCTCCACTTATTGTGTTTCCACATAACTTGCTTCACTACCGTAATCCGAAAAATAGATAAAAAATATTACTCTAATTCAAATTCAAAATTTTTATTTCAGATAAAACATTCATATTTATGTTAGTAGTAGTACAACTTAGCCTAATGTTAGTAAATTATAATAATTATATTAATTACAAAATAACTTATTATTCTACAGGGGCACTCTTGGTAGAAAGACCAGCATCAATAGAGGAAGGGTTCAGTCAGCAGGCCCCACTGGTGTATCACTTTGGACATAGTTCTCCAGGAGAGAACCTCGAACTGTACAACACTATAGTGGGCAGACTGGCTGAGGTGATCGCTGAACGATGTGAGAATAATAAAAAAGGTGAGTTCTTATTTAGTTTTTGTTAGTACAATAAGTTATTTTGCCTGTCTTTTGACATTACCATGCCATGCAGATGGAGGTCTTTTAGCGACCTTGGTGGTCAGGTCAGTGTACCTTGCTATTTCTCGACCCAAATCTCTGTGCCTTTGACTTTGGTCACCATCACTTTGTCACTGCCACTCTTGGAGCACACACTTGACTACCACCCATCGTCCTCTGTTACCTAATCTAGTTATGTGACCAGTTGGTCAGAGGAGTTACCTCTACGCAATATCTGTACAGTCGATAATACAATACGGTATTTTACAACTAATCAAATTAAATACTTTTATCGAAACGTCAAAAACGACATTGTTCTATGAATGACTGCCTCATTGGCCGAGTGGTCGCAAGTGCGACTGCCGGGCAAGGGGTCTCGGGTTCGATTCCCGGGTCGGGCAAAGTATTACTGGGTTTTTTCAAAACCCCAGTAGTAGCACGGAGTCTAGAATAGTGCCCGGTATATGGCAATAGGCTCACCCCCTATTACATGGGACTCATAACATAAATCGTGAATAGTGGGTGTTACATTGTACAGTGGCATTAACTGCCGTAATGTGCACCTCTGCCTACCCCTTCGGGGAAGACAGGCGTGGCGTTATGTTATGTTCTATGAATGTTGTACCAAAAACTAGCTTAATTATTATTATATTTTCGAGTCAAATAGCTTGTTGCTGTAAAAATTGCTATAATAAATCGAAAATTGAGTATATCGTTCAAATATATGAATGAAATTGTAATTATTTTTTAATATTTAATTGGATTGAAAAAACAAAATAATTTATGTTTGATCCAGGAAAATACCCAATTAAGATAAGGTAGATCCATAATGTAATTTAATAAAATGTATGTCACAGCATCGACATCAGGAGTCATCATCAACACTTGTGGGTGGATTAAAGGAGATGGATATAAGGTGCTCTCACACGCTGCTCAAGCTTTTGAGGTAACTACAACTCTGTACTAGTGATGTAACGAATATTCGATTTGCATTTGGATTCGCGAATATTCGCCTGATTTTTTATATTCGCATTCGCATTCGTGAATATCTTTTGAATATGAAATTGCAAAATACACAGAATGTTATGACAATATTAGGTAAATTTAAATGAAACAAAATAGTATTAATATATTTTCTTTTTAATTGTAAAACAGTTCAGTTCTTATGACATTACAAAACAAATAATACTGTGTTCATGTTTAGGCAGTCTTATTAAGTAGGTACTACTAAGTACATAAAGTAGTGCTTTGCTCAGTGTTTGTCTTGCCTACACATATGTACACATACTTTGATAATTATTTAAACTTAAAAATAAAATAAACTTTGAATCATAGACAAACGGCGCCAAATTTGAAACCTGTATATTCGCATTCGCATCCGCATTCGCGAATGTCTACAATAGATATTCGCATTCGCATTCGTATTCGCGAATGCTTAAAAACTGACATTCGTTACATCTCTACTCTGTACTATTACAAAAAACTGCGTTTCTAAAAACTAACTTCAAAAACTATAAACAAGCAATCTTTTTTAAGATGTAAGTATTTTAGTTTTTAGTTATTTGTATTTATAATATTAATAATACTTTTAAGTAGATATCAGGGGCGTAGCTAGCGCCGTATCTGCCGTATCAATTGTACCGGGCCCCCGCACGTCGAGGGCCCCCAAAAGTGCACAAGCAAAAATAATAAAAACTACCCAATTTGTGTTTTAGTTATTTTAGGAATCACAAAGGTCAGAATAAAAGACTTTCTTTCTGACTAAGAACTTCCTGAGTAAAGCATGCATTCAAAGATTGGTAGATACTTAAATAAACTAAAGTAATCTGTCGTTTGTTTGTTTTTTTCTATATCTATATAAATATCGGTATTTATTTCTTCTTTTCTTTTTTAATTTTGTATTATTTTTGTATCTGTGTGCGTGCCCACTGCCGAATAAATGCTGTTTCTTTCATTCATAGTTCGATAATTGGGCAGAGGGAGTTCCCTGGAAAGTTTTTCAATTTTCACACAAACTATTTGTATTTTACACAAACTATTAGTTTTTTCCCTTATAAAAACAAATTTTAAGCACAAGCCGCCCGCTAAGGCACGCTACACCACGGGTAGATATAATCAATACATAGTATAAAACAAAGTCGCTTTCGCTGTATGTCCGTATGTATGCTTAGATCTTTAAAACTACGCAACGGATTTTGATGCGGTTTTTTTTA